ATCCTCCGACATGATCACTCCCAGGTCTTTGACGTTGGTGTTTCGCTCTAAAGGGGATATTAACAAGGTCTTGAGGATATCTCTCCAAGAGAGAACCCGCAGTAATGGATTTAAATTAGATAAGTTTAGATTTAGAAAGGACATAGGAAAGTATTGGTTTGGAAATAGGGTAGTTGATGAGTGGAACAGTCTACCTATTTATTTATTTATTTATTTATTAACAATTTGAGCACACATACAGAGGTACAAAAAATACAGATAAGAGCAGCATGCCAAAGCCACTTATACTATGCATAGCATTACGGACTGGCTTAAAATTAACTTAAGATTAACTAAGCAATGATGAAATCAGTGATAAAACATTAATGTAAACAGATTACTATAAAGCACAAGTGAGTATTACAAAGACAGGTCATTTGGTTGCATTCAGTTAGGTAGTGATTCTGTTAGGTAGTGTATTTAAAAAATAATAAAGTTAGATTGGGTTTTAGGTTTAACATTTATGTGATATAATTGTGAGAAACATTTAAGATATACAATTTATAAGGTTCAGTTATTCAGTATTTATTTGGTTTTGGGTGAGTAAGTGATCTTTGAGAAGAGACTTGAATTTATAAACAGGTAGTGTTTCTTTTATATTTACAGGTAATGAATTCCAGATTTTCGGGCCTTTTATGTGCATTGAGTTTTTGCATAGTGTGAGATGGACACGAGGAACATCAAAGAGTGATCTGTGCCTTGTGTTATGGTCATGTGTTCTGTTGAGGTTGGCAAGGAGATGTTTGAGGGGAGGGTTAATATCAGAGTTAAGTGTTCTATGTATGTAATAGGTGCAGTAATAAGTATGGATGTTTCGTATGGTGAGTAGGTTTAGTGTATTGAATATTGGTGGAGTGTGCTGCCTGTAGTGAGAATTTGTTATCATTCTAACTGCAGCCTTTTGTTGGGTAATTAGTGGTCTGAGATGGTTACTTGTTGTTGAGCCCCATGCACAAATTCCATGGGTTATTGAGGCTAGGACTTTGGGTAGTTTCAAATTTAGGTTGGATAAGTACACGAGTGGGAGGGGTTGGACTTGAGTGGGACTTGCACATCGGAGCTTGTTTCTTGGGTGGCATTGAAAATTGGGTTGGTCAAATGTTTGTTAGGCCTGCTGCAGTGTTCCTCCTTTCTTATGTTCTTATGAATGTCGAGGGCGTAACCATGTCTCAAAGAGACCCACCACCAGTGGCTGTACCTTAGCCAGATATCTCTGAAGGTCTGGAAGCTTCCCCAGTACAGAACGTGCATTCCAAAGAAGAAAAACAGAGGGGTGAGAAAGGTTCACGTGTGTGAACTAAGCAGCCCAATAAGGCGAGGGAGAACCGAGAGACATGCAGTCACAAAAGAGGTGCCCTGGAGGTATGAATGTAGCACCTCCTCCACCAGGAGGAGGATAGGATGAAGGAATAAAGCCCAGGCAGGCGAGTGAGAAAGCGGGACCTTCAGACATGAAGAGTCCTGGAGTGGAGACAGGCCGAGGCTGGGGTTGAGGAGAATTGATGGGGGGGAGTCGGCTGCGAGACAGGAGGCTCCGGGTCGGGTATGATGTCCATCTGAACTGGGTGGGGCTCTGAGCAACGAGTCGATTTGGAAACTGTACCACCTCGACGGGAGGACGTGCGTTGTAGACGGGTGTTGTGATAGAAACACAGGCCTTATCTCTAGGCTTTATTGAACATAGAATCTTCATAGTACTTCTGCAACAACAAAATATAATGACTAGTACATCTAATAATGGCTTCTACAGGGATGGTGATGTCTTGCATATGTCAAGAGAAAAGTTATAACTACAGGCCACATATTTAAACTCACCATGTAATCTGCATCATTAATATAGGGATAGTAGAAGAGAAGAGAATCACACACCATGTATTGGCGCCCATGACACACACCAAACTGTTGTTGTTGTTAAGGGCCCCGAGAGGTAGTGCAGTATTATCCTGCTGCTGCTCCCCACAGGAGCAGTATCACTACAACGGGCATGTGCAATAATTTCCACAATGGAAGCCGGGTCCGAGGACACCCTGAGTTGATGTTGCCCCGGGGGTGGGGAATCCTCTAAAGGGAAAGAGAGGTCCACAAGAGCCCCAAACCGATTTGTAACAGGGATATTAGCCCTCACAGCTGCGGAGTACAGATGCCCTGGCCGTGTTGGTGTTGGGGAGACTCCCTTAGTGGGGGGCACTGGAGGCTAAGGAGGCAGGGGCTGACGGACTGTGACTGGCTTTACAGACCGCAAGCAGGAGCTACATTCATCAAGTGAACAAGACTGGGCCCTGGCTGAGTTTGCTAAATCAAGAGCCTGGCGAAATGCTGGGCAAGACCGGGAGGTAACCTTGTGGTTCCCTTTACAGAAATAGCATGAAGCTTTGTGGGTATAGGTAATGCCGTCTTTAACTACTGGGTGAAACCCGCTGCATCTTACCTTACCACGGCAAGACAACTCTCCATGCTCGAAAAGGAAACATTTCCGACACCGGAGTAAAGGAAAAGTATAAGGAAGAACAGGAAATCTTAGATTGCCAAAAAGTCACAAATTTCGGGAGAGCACCCGAGAAACATACACGAACCATACGAGATGGGGTAGGACGATTCGAGAGGGTCCAAACCTCCGGCAAACCTAAGTTGTCACCCCCACTGTGAACCAATTCATAAGAACATAAGTACATAAGAACTAATTTGAGGAAATGGTATGGTGATACCGACAAGATGTGGAAAAAGACACTTATGTACAGTTCAGGACATTTATTAAAGGAAACGTTTCGCCACGAGTGGCTTCTTCAGTCCTAATACAGAGAAAACTAAGAAAACATTTATATATATAGTGGCAGGAGTCAGGTGAGGTGACGCATGGGTAGAGGTGGTAGTAGTAGTAGTAGTAGTAGTAGTAATGGAACTAAGGAGGTGAGGCAAGAGAGGGACCTGCTGGCATCAAGTAACACCAGTTCCCAGGATGGGTAATATCCTCTTGCTTAGTAATTTTGAAATACTGTAACTACCGGATTTTTGCTTTATAGTGTTACTGACAGAAATTAGTGCAGCTTCAATGCATTTTCTCCGTCTTAAGTCGTCTTCTTTAATAACTGGTTTAGCTTCATTGAATTTCATGAGGTGTCCAATATCGTCTCTATGTTGAACACATGCAAACCAACGTATGAGCCACAGCCCGGCTGGTCAGGAACCGACATTAGGTGCTTGTCTAGTGCCAGCTTTAAGACTGCCAGGGGTCTGTTGGTAATCCCCCTTATGTATGCTGGGAGGCAGTTAAACAGTCTCGGGCCCCTGACACTTACTGTATGGTCTCTTAACGTGCTAGTGACACCCCTGCTTTTCATTGGGGGGATGTTGCATCGTCTGCCAAGTCTTTTGCTTTCGTAGTGAGTGGTTTTCGTGTGTAAGTTCGGTACTAGTCCCTCTAGGATTTTCCAGGTGTATATAATCATGTATCTCTCCCACCTGCGTTCCAGGGAATACAGGTTTAGGAACCTCAAGCGCTCCCAGTAATTGAGGTGTTTTATCTCCGTTATGCGCGCCGTGAAGGTTCTCTGTATATTTTCTAGGTCAGCAATTTCACCTGCCTTGAAAGGTGCTGTTAGTGTGCAGCAATATTCCAGCCTAGATAGAACAAGTGACCTGAAGAGTGTCATGGGCTTGGCCTCCCTAGTTTTGAAGGTTCTCATTATCCATCCTGTCATTTTTCTAGCAGATGCGATTGATACAATGTTATGGTCCTTGAAGGAGAGATCCTCCGGCATGATCACTCCCAGGTCTTTGACGTTGGTGTTTCGCTCTATTTTGTGGCCAGAATTTGTTTTGTACTCTGATGAAGATTTAATTTCCTCGTGTTTACCATACCTGGAGTTTACCTAGAGAGAGTTCCGGGGGTCAATGCCCCCGCAGCCCGGTCTGTGACCAGGCCTCCTGGTGGATCAGAGCCTGATCAACAAGGCTGTTGCTGCTGGCTGCACGCAAACCAACGTACGAGCCACAGCCCGGCTGGTCAGGAACCGACTTTAGGTGCTTGTCCAGTGCCAGCTTGAAGACTGCCAGGGGTCTGTTGGTAATCCCACTTATGTATGCTGGGAGGCAGTTGAACAGTCTCGGGCCCCTGTCACTTATTGTATGGTCTCTTAACGTGCTAGTGACACCCCTGCTTTTCATTGGGGGGATGTTGCATCGTCTGCCAAGTCTTTTGCTTTCGTAGTGAGTGATTTTCGTGTGCAAGTTCGGTACTAGTCCCTCTAGGATTTTCCAGGTGTATATAATCATGTATCTCTCCCGCTTGCGTTCCAGGGAATACAGTTTTAGGAACCTCAAGCGCTCCCAGTAACTGAGGTGTTTTATCTCCGTTATGCACGCCGTGAAGGTTCTCTGTACATTTTCTAGGTCAGCAATTTCACCTGCCTTGAAAGGTGCTGTTAGTGTACAGCAATATTCCAGCCTGATTAATTGAAATTTCTCATCGTTGAACTTCATATTGTTTTCTGCAGCCCACTGAAAGATTTGGTTGATGTCCGCCTGGAGCCTTGCAGTGTCTGCAATGGAAGACACTGTCATGCAGATTCGGGTGTCATCTGCAAGGAAAGACACGGTGCTGTGGCTGACATCCTTGTCTATGTCAGATATGAGGATGAGGAACAAGATGGGAGCAAGTACTGTGCCTTGTGGAACAGAGCTTTTCACCGTAGCTGCCTCGGACTTTACTCTGTTGACGACTACTCTCTGTGTTCTGTTAGTGAGGAAATTATAGATCCATCGACCGACTTTTCCTGTTATTCCTTTAGCACGCATTTTGTGCGCTATTACGCCATGGTCACACTTGTCGAAGGCTTTTGCAAAGTCTGTATATATTACATCTGCATTCTTTTTGTCTTCTAGTGCATCTAGGACCTTGTTGTAGTGATCCAATAGTTGAGACATACAGGAGCGACCTGTTCTAAACCCATGTTGCCCTGGGTTGTGTAACTGATGGGTTTCTAGATGGGTGGTGATCTTGCTTCTTAGGACCCTTTCAAAGATTTTTATGATATGGGATGTTAGTGCTATCGGTCTGTAGTTCTTTGCTGTTGCTTTACTGCCCCCTTTGTGGAGTGGGGCTATGTCTGTTGTTTTTAGTAACTGTGGGACGACCCCTGTGTCCATGCTCCCTCTCCATAGGATGGTAAAGGCTCGTGATAGGGGCTTCTTGCAGTTCTTGATGAACACGGAGTTCCATGAGTCTGGCCCTGGGGCAGAGTGCATGGGCATGTCATTTATTGCCTGTTCCAAGTCATTTGGCATCATTTGGCTTGCTAAAAACTGAGTCATATTGGGACTTGAGTAGCTCACTCATTTCCTTACTGTCATCTGTGTAGGACCCATCTTGTTTAAGTAGGGGCCCAATACTGGAAGTTGTTCTCGATTTTGATTTGGCATAGGAGAAGAAATACTTTGGGTATATTTCGATTTCGTTTATGGCTTTTAGTTCTTCCTGCGATTCCTGACTCCTATAAGATTCCTTTAGCTTAAGTTCGATGCTTGCTATTTCTCTGACCAGTGTCTCCCTACGCATTTCAGATATATTGACCTCTTTTAGCCGCTCTGTTATTCTTTTCCATCGCCTGTAAAGGGAGTGCCTGTCCCTTTCTATTTTACATCTACTCCTCCTTTTTCTTAGAGGAATAAGCCTTGTGCATACATCGAGCGCCACCGAGTTAATCTGTTCTAGGCATAGGTCTGTGTTGCTTAGTATATCTTCCCAGCTTATATCAGTTAGGATTTGGTTTACTTGGTCCCACTTTATGTTTTTGTTATTGAAGTTGAATTTGGTGAATGCTCCCTCGTGACTAATCTCATTATGTCGGTCTGGGGCTCCGTGCATGCATGTCTGAACCTCAATTATGTTGTGATCCGAGTATATTGTTTTTGATATGGTGACATTTCGTATCAGATCATCATTGTTAGTGAAGATGAGGTCTAGTGTATTCTCCAGTCTAGTAGGCTCTATTATTTGCTGGTTTAAATTGAATTTTGAGCAGAGATTTAAAAGCTCGTGTGAGTGTGAGTTTTCATCAGAGCTGCCTTCTGGTGTTATTACTGCAACAATATTATTTGCTATATTCCTCCATTTTAGGTGCCTTAAGTTGAAATCCCCCAGGAGCAAGATGTTGGGTGCAGGAGCTGGCAGATTTTCCAGACAATGGTCAATTTTTAACAGCTGTTCCTGGAATTGCTGGGATGTTGCATCCGGAGGCTTGTAGACTGCCACAATGACTAGGTTTTGGTTCTCGATCTTTACTGCTAAAACTTCCACTACATCATTTGAGGCATTCAGCAGTTCTGTGCACACAAGTGACTCTGCAATGTACAGACAAGCCCGCCCCTTTTGCCTGTTCACTCTGTCGCATCTGTATAGGTTGTAACCTGGGATCCATATTTCGTTGTCCAAGTGATCCTTTATGTGGGTCTCAGTGAAAGCCGTGAACATTGCCTTTGCCTCTGCAAGCAGTCCACGGATGAAAGGTATTTTGTTGTTTGTTGCTGGCTTTAGACCCTGTATATTTGCAAAGAAGAATGTCATCGGACTCGTGGTATTGTTGGCACTGGGGGGGGGGTTCCGGCATTAGTATCTGTATCTGTTGGTTTGGAGTGGAGGCCATCGACTGTGGTTCCACTCCAGGAATGACTGGATTTGGTGTACGATTTCTGCCATTTCCTGCCAGTTTTTTTTTTCTTCCTGGCACTAAAAAATCTCTCCCTCTTGAGTGGCTGTGGCTACCCAGGTTTTCCCATGGCCTGGATGTTTTGTATCTTTTTGTCCCCTTTAGATGGTGTGCCTGGCAATTTAAGTTATAACACAGTCTTTCCTGCACTGAAGAGGGACACATTTCAGGGTGAAAAAGCTTACAGTAAGGGAGTTTGCATTTTCCTGTTGTCATATGGGCACGGCATTTTCTAGGGTGGTCATAGTTGCACGTCCCATCTGTTTTTCCAGATTTCCCATGCCTGCAGATACCAAGTGCATAGTATGTGCACAGGCTTGGTTTCCGTTTGCCTTGGGTTTCTGTGACTATTCCCTGTTGGTGCATGTTTGCCTTGGGTTTCTGTGACTGTATTCCCTGTTGGTGCATGTTTACCTGTCTTATTCCTATCCTCCCTAGCACCAACAAAGGAGCTCCCACCAGTTGTTTTTGGTAATATATCCTCACTATTGCTAGTGGAGTCCTCTTGTTTGCTATTTCCTGTGGTATTTCTAGTTTGCAATATTGGTTTTATCTTATCTTTGACTTCACTTGATTCCTCACTACGGCTCCTGTCTCCCATGAGGTCAATTATATGCATTCCATCCTGCGTACAATTCCCGACTACCTGGACAAAATCTCCAGCTTCACCATTACTGTCTCCCAGGACAGCACCTCTAGCTTCACCATTACTGTCTACCAGGACAGCACTATCAGCCCCACATTTACTGACTACCAGTGCAGCACCTCCAGCCTTACAGTTTCTGACTACATGGCCAGTATCAAGGGCGATACCATCCAGCCCAGACTTTTTATGTTCCTATCTGTTGTAGAATGCTTCCAGGTTGTCTATGAAAGCAGCTTTGATGTTATCCTCTTTTAATACCAATGTGATATTAGTCCACAGATTTATCTCATTTGGACATACCCAAAAACACTTCCCTGTTTTAATACTTCTTGTAGCTAGTTCTTGGATATTTGCACAAGGGGCATGACACCAATTTCCACAAAAATGACAATTTATCCATGTGGAAGCCAGTTTGTTTGATTGATTGCAGACTACACAGGGCTTCATAATGATTTGAATGGTTGAATTACTGTAATTCTACTAGCAAGCTCTTGAATACTCTATTAATAACCTCCTTAAAGTGAAGCTCTAGCTATTTGTATTTCTATTTCTAACTGTACTTGTCAAAGGAATGTTAGGAAGTATTTCTTCAGTCATAGAGTTGTCAGGAAGTGGAATAGTCTGGCAAGTGATATAGTGGAGGCAGGAACCATACATAGTTTCAAGGTGAGGTATGATAAAGCTCATGGAGCAGGGAGAGAGAGGACCTAGTAGCACGACCAGTGAAGAAACAGGGCGAGGAGCTGAGTCTCGACCCCTGCAATCACAGTTAAGCGAGTACACACACACGCACATACTGAAAGGAATTGCCAGGGTGGATGGGGCAGATTGTTTGGGACATAAGAAATAGGAACACGAGGACACAGGTGGAAGTTGAAAACATAGATGATTCATAGGGATGTTAGGAAGAATTTCTTCAACCTTAGGGTTGTCAGGAAGTGGAACAATCTGGAGAGTGAAGTAGTAGAGGTAGGATCCATACATATCTTTAAGAAGAGGTATAATAAGGCTCTAGGAGCAAAGAGAGTGAACCTAATAGCAATCAGCAAAGAGGCAGGACCAGAGACTGTGACTCAACTTCTGCAACCACATACTGGTGAGTGCACACACACGCGCTAATGTGAAGAGACAGCCTGAGAGAAAATCTGAGAATGACATAGAAGAGCTAAGTCTGAACCAACACTATTTCACAGCCGCATCAGAAGAAAGGTGACAGTAAAGGACCAGGTGATACGACTGAGGAAGGAAGGAGAACTAATGAACAATGAAAAAAACTTTGTGAAGTGTTAATAAAATGATTTGAAGAGGTCTTCTCAATGGAAGGTGGCACAGCACTGGAGAGACTAAGGAACAGGGGACAGTTACAAGTACTAGACGCCATCCATAAAAGAGAGGAAGAGATAAAGAAACTTTTGATGACTTTGGATACATCAAAGCAATGAAACGTGACAACGTGTCACCATGAATTCTGTGAGAGGGTGCAGAAGCAATGTCTAAACTACTAGGTATGAAATAAGTCAACAGATAAGGTAGAGTTACCAGAGATCTGGAGGGGAAGGGGGCATAGTTGAAGTATGTATAGATAAGTGTGTGATAGACTACACTTTAGGGACTATGCACAGTGTTAGGCAACTTTTCTCCACAGAATGCGACCCACGTCAATTGGTTAACACCCAGGTACATATTTACAGCTAGATGAAAAAGACGGCAGGTGTAAGGAAACATGACGAATATTTCCACCTGTACTGGGTGTATCACACTTATAAGGATTAGTTAATCGTCTTTGCAGACGCGCTCAGATACGACAGCTTAGATGTCCCTCCAAATCGCCAAATATCCCAAACCCCTCCCATAAAGAGCGGGCATTGTACTTCCCATTTCCACCTACCCTCCTATAGCCACAAACTTCTGCCGCACATTCTAATACTGCATTTTTAAACCTATCCATCCCTCTTCAACCCCCCCCCCCACTACCCATACTTGCACTAGCCCACCTTCAAAACTAGGGATGCCAAGCCCATGATGATACTCTTCAGGTCACTTGTTCTATCTAGGCTGGAATATTGCTGCACACTAACAGCACCTTTCAAGGCAGGTGAAATTGCTGACCTAGAAAATGTACAGAGAACCTTCACGGCGTGCATAACGGAGATAAAACACCTCAATTACTGGGAGTGCTTGAGGTTCCTAAACCTGTATTCCCTGGAATGCAGGCGGGAGAGATACATGATTATATACACCTGGAAAATCCTAGAGGGACTAGTACCGAACTTGCACACGAAAATCTCTCACTACGAAAGCAAAAGACTTGGCAGACGATGCAACATCCCCCAATGAAAAGCAGGGGTGTCACTAGCACGTTAAGAGACCATACAATAAGTGTCAGGGGCCTGAGACTGTTCAACTGCCTCCCAGCATACATAAGGGGGATTACCAACAGACCCCTGGCAGTCTTAAAGCTGGCACTGGACAAGCACCTAAAGTCGGTTCCTGACCAGCCGGACTGTGGCTCATACGTTGGTTTGCGTGCAGCCAGCAGTAACAGCCTGGTTGATCAGGCTCTGATCCACCAGGAGGCCTGGTCACAGACCGGGCCGCAAGGGCGTTGACCCCCGGAACTCTCTCCAGCTAAACTCCAGGTAGTTGCTTATATCTCACCCTAACTTCTTCCTCCCTTAGTTTATAAACTTTCACCTCTTCTCTAACTTACTGTTGCCATTTTCCTCTTGTCCTTTCTGCCACTTACTCTAACTGTAGCTACATGTAAATAATGATCCAATATGTCAGTTGCCCCTCTTTAAACATGTACATCCTGAAGTCTACCCGTCAAGAGAGATAAGACAAGATTTCGTTCGGATTTTTAACCCCAGAGGGTTAGCCACTCAGGATAACCCAAGAAAGTCAGTGCGTCGTCGAGGACTGTCCTTAATCTTGTCCCCCAGGATGCGACCCGCACCAGTCGACTAACACCCAGGTACCTATTTGCTGCTAGGTGAACAGGACAACAGGTGTAGGAGACGTGTCGAAATGTTTCCACCCACCGGGAATCGAACCCGGGCCCTCCGTGTGTGAAGCGGGAGCTTTAGCCACCAGGCCACCGGGACACCAATACATATTCTAACAAACTACTTTCATTATGTGCTATATCATATCTTGTATACTTATCCTCTTTTTCATAAAATACGTATTACTTATTACCAAACCCCTTTCTACACATAGCTCAATTAAAGGCTCCCCATTTTCAGTTACCCCTGGCACCCCAAATTTACCTACTACTCCCTCTACAGCATTTTTACCTACTTTAGCATTGAGATCCCCAACCACAAGTACTCTCTCACTTGGTTCAAAACTCCCCATGCACTCAACACTTCCAAAAATCTCTCTTCTCTACACTCCTCTCTTCACCAGGTGCATAAACACTTACTATAACCCACTTTTCACATCCAACCCTTATTTTACTCCACATAATCCTTGAATTTATACATTTATATTCCTTCTTTTCTTCTCATAACTTATTCTTCAACATTATTGCTACTCCTTCCTTAGCTCTAACTCTATTAGAAACCCCTGACCTAATCCCATTTATTTCTCCCCACTGAAACTCTCCCACCCCCTTCAGCTTTGTTTCACTTTGAGTCAGGACATCCAGCTTCTTTTCATTCATAACATCCACAATCATCTCTTCCTTATCATTCGTGCTACATCCATGCAAATGCCGCTTCTGACTTCAGACTGAAAATTCTGGTGTATTTTGGTTAGTTGAGGATTTGATTCTTATTTACAGTTAGGTCCAATTTATTGTTATTATACTGTCACTACCTGTAGGGTGGGATGAGATACCTGTGAAAGCTGGTATCAGGTTGCACATGGTGGCTAAGCTAACTTCCAAGGTCTACAATATGATGTACATGTATATTGGAACATCTCATGATTAAACCTCATGAATCAGGGTGCAGAGCTGCTGGCTTGATTTGAGTTGCATTATTCAACCTTTCCGATATCTCTCGAAAAAAATGTTTGTTTGTTACTTTTATTCCATATTCATTGATGACACAAGGGCAATAACCATGTTCCGTCACTGCCTATGTGTAGATAGACTGATAAAAAAATCAACAATGTCTTGACAATTTATTTTTAAGTGAAACAAAAATAAAATGTAACATTTTTTTTAATTTATACTGCAGATCGCAACAATTTAATAATATATATTTAGATTCAAACTTAAAAAATATAAATAATATATAAAAGATAATCCACCAACAGTGCACAATAACGTGAGATAAAGAAACATGTATATACAAGGCCCAGTCCAAGAGGCATGGTTCCGGGAAACCCCTGCCTTATTTCCCTGATTATTCCCTGAGTGTGTAGAGAGGAACTGTGTGTGGAGAGGAAGAGTGTGTAGAGGGGAAGTGTGTGTAGAGCAGAAGTGTGTAGAGCAGAAGTGTGTATAGAGAGGAAGTGTGTGTAGAGAGGAAGTGTGTGTTGAGAGAGGAAGTGTGTGTAGAGAGAGGAAGTGTGTTTTTGAGAGAGGAAGTGTGTGTAGAGAGGAAGTGGTTTTGAGAGAGGAAGTGTGTGTTGAGAGAGGAAGTGTGTTTTAGAGAGAGGAAGTTGTGTTTTGAGAGAGGAAGTGTGTGTTGAGAGAGGAAGTGTGGTGTTTGAGAGAGGAAGTGTGTGTTGAGAGAGGAAGTGTGTGTTGAGAGAGGAAGTGTGTGTGAGAGAGAAGTGTGTGTTGAAGAGGAAGTGTGTGTTGAGAGAGGAAGTGTGTGTTGAGAGAGGAAGTGTGTGTTGAGAGAGGAAGTGTGTTGAGAGAGGAAGTGTGTGTTGAGAGAGGAAGTGTGTGTTGAGAGAGGAAGTGTGTGTTGAGAGAGGAAGTGTGTGTGAGAGAGGAAGTGTGTGTTGAGAGGGGAAAAGTGTGTGTTGAGAGAGGAAGTGTGTGTTGAGAGAGGAAGTGTGTGTTAAAGAGGAATGTGTGTTGAGAGAGGAAGTGTTGTTGAGAGAGGAAGTGTGTGTTAGAGAGGAAGGGGTTTTGTTGAGAGAGGAAGTGTGTGTTGAGAGAGGAAGTTTTGGTTTAGAGAGAGGAAGTGTGTGTGAGAGAGGAAGTGTGTGTTGAGAGAGGAAGAGTGTTGAGAGGGGAATGTGTTGTAGAGAGAGAAGTTTTTGTGTTGAGAAGGAAGAGGTGTTAGAGAGGAAGTTTTGTTGAGAGGGAAGTGTGGTTGAAGAGGAAGTGTGTGTTTAAGAGAGAAGTGTGTGTTGAAGAGGAAGTGTGTTTAGAGAGGAATTGTTGTTGAGAAGGAAGTTGTGGTTAAAGGGGTGTATAGGAAAGTGTTTTTGAGAAGTTTAATTGTTTAAAAATTTGGTTAGAAAGATGTTGAGATAAGAATGTTTGAGAAATTTTTTAAAAGTTGTTGAAGAAATGTTTGAGAAGAAATTTGTTATAAATTGTTTAACAGAATTGTGTTAATAGAATTTTTTAAAAATTTTTAAAGAATTTGTTAAAAATTTTTTAAAGAATTTTGTTATAAGAATTTTTTAGAATTTTCTTTATATAAAATTCTGCAATTTTAAATTTCTTCCTATATGAAACTTTTTCGTAATTAAATTTGCTAAGAACTTCCTATAATGTTAAAAACGTGTTTCCAAACTTGTAAAGAATTTAAAAAATTTTCTAATAAATTTTGCATAATAATTCTCTTCATCAAAATTTAAAAAGTTTTTGCCTCTATATCTCTTTTCCCTTTATATAAATCTCTTTTAATAATACCTCTCTTCCTCAAAATAAATCTCCTCGATATAAACTCTCTTCCACATAACCCCTTTCCTATATATAATCTCTCTTCTATAAATCTCTCTCTTAATAATCTCTCTTCTAATATAATCTCTCTCTATATAAATCTCTCTTCCTATAAAATGCTTTTCCTATAATAATCTTCTTCCTATATATAATCCTCTTCCTCTAAATCTCTCTTCCTATAATAACTCTCTTCCTCTATAAATCTCTTCATATATAATCTCTCTTCCATATAAATCTCGTTTTCCGATAATAATCTCTCTTCCTATATATAACTCTCTTCCTATAAAATCTCTTTTCCTATAATAATCTCTCTTCCAAATATTACCTCTTCCTATAAATAATCTCTCTTCCTTATAATCTCTCTTCCTATATAAATCTCCTTCCTTAATAATCTTCTTCCTATATATAATCTCTCTTCCTATATATAAATCTCTCTTCTAATATAATCTTCTTTCCTTAATATACCTCTCTTTCCATATAAAATCTCTCTTCCTAATAAATCTCTCTTCCTATATATAATCTCTCTTCCATATATAAATCCTCTTCCTATATTAATCTCTCTTCCTCTATAACTTCCCATATTAATCTCTCTCCTCTATAATCTCTCTTCCTATATATAATCTCTCTTCCTAATATAATCCTCTTCCTCTATAATCTCTTTTCCTATAATAACACTCTTCCCAAATAATTTTCTTTTCCTATAATATAATCTCTCTTCCTATAATCCTCTTCCTATATATAATGTCTCTTATATAAATCCTCTTCCTATATAAATCTCCTCTTCCTCTAATAATCTCTCTTCCAAATAAAAAATCTCTCTTCCTATAACCTGCCTATATAAAATCTCTCTTCCTATATATAATCTCTCTTCCTAGAATAATTCTCTTCCTATATATAATCTCTCTTCCTATATATAATCCTCTTCCTATATATAATCTCTCTTCCTTATATATAAATCTCTTCCTATATATATCTCTCTTCCTATAATCTCTTTTCCATATATAATCTCTCTTCCTAATATAATCCTCTTCCTATAAAAATCTCTTTTCCTATAATATAATCCTCTTCCTATATATAAATTCTCTTTCCTCTATAATCTCTCTTCCTATATAAATCCTTCCTATATATAATTCCCCTTCTAATAAATCTCTCTTCCAATAAATCCCTTCCTCTATAATCTCTTTTCCTATATATAAATCTCTTCCATAATCTCTCTTCCTATAATAATCTCTCTTCCTATATTAATCTTAATTCCTATATATAATCTCTCTTCCTCTATAATCCTTTTCCTTATATAATCTCTCTTCCAAAATTTCTCTTCCTATATATAACTCTCTTCTAAAGAATCTCTCGTCCTAGTATAACTCTCTTCCTATAAAATAATTTCTCTCCTTTATAATAATCTCTCTTCCTAATAGAATTCTCTCCTATATATAATCTCTTTCCATAATCTCTTCCTAATATAATCTCTCTTCAATAAAATCTCTCTTCCTAATATAATTCTCTTCCAGATAAATCTCTCTTCCAATAAATCTCTCTCCTATATATAAATCTCTCTTCCTATATACCCACTCTCCTATATATACTCTTCCACCCTCCTTAACCCCACAGCTACCCTCTTCCAAACCTCTATCAATAACCCCTCCCCTACCCAATAACCCCATAAATACCCCAACCCCCAATCCCTTACTCCCTCCACCTAAAACCCCCAACCCCCCCCCTACCCACCAACCCTCCCCCCTTTACCTCCCACCCCCACCTACCACCCAAAACCACCCAAAAATCCCGTCCCCACCGTCGTCAACAACCTGACCGCACCCCCCAAAACAACAACCCCCACCAAAAAATCACACCATACTACAATCAGGACTTGATCCAAAACCCCCTGACCACCAATCCCAAAAGTAATGTACCAATCACCATTACCCCCACCTGTAACAAATACACAAAGAATCATGCTACCACATCAGTTTAAAACAAAAAACATAAGTTGAGAATTAAGCAACTTAAACAAAGAAATGACACTAAAAATATACCACAGTTAACCCCCAACACTCACAAAAATAAATTTGAAAAAAATGCTGACACTATTATTACAATACAGGTGTCTTTTTCACATTTTTTCAAATTCATGCCATGCAATTGCCCATTTTTATTTCTAATTACACATGTGCAACATACATTTGTAGAATGTGATCAGAGCACTATGTTAACTTATCAAAAATTCTTAAGTAGAATGAAATATTAATGGTTGCGATGGGCCTGGAAGGCATCTACAGAATAAAAAAAAGGTCACCTGTATAATGAAAAACTTGTACACTAATACTCTACTCTAGATAATTTACTATAACAAATGAAAGATGTGTTGTCAGTAATCAAGTTCTTTGTCAGTTTTAAATATACACTAGCAGTTTTTGCTCCTTCACTGGGATATTTGTTCACGAGATGTTATGTAATATTCTTATGCTCTATCACTCTTTACTTTCTAAATTTATCTTTTCTACACTGCATCTGCAGTATCTACTTACAGTATTTATGCTACATTTATAGAAACACACTAATTATCATTTTTATTAAAATTTACTGAACTGCACAAGGGAAAATTACTTGAAATTTCAATCTGCCACATTAAATGAAATTTTTTTTTTTGTTTTTTTGTACAATACATAGAGGAAATGGATACTCCTTTCTGTTCTAGAAAGTGAGGGTATGTACTGCAGATTATTTCCTTCTGATAATTAATTTTTTAACACACCCACTAATGCCCTCTGAGGTAGGGTGACCCAAAAAACAAGAAAACACATTCACCATCATTCAACAGCACCTTGCCACAAGTATGTTATGTACTGGCTACTGCCATTTATTCACTATTATCTGTCTTCAGCAGTTACCCATAATTATAGAAGAGTAGGATATACAGTGGACCCCCGCATAACGATTACCTCCGAATGTGACCAATTATGTAAGTGTATTTATGTAAGTGCGTTTGTATGTGTATGTTTGGGGGTCTGAAATGGACTAATCTACTTCACAATATTTCTTATGGGAACAAATTCGGTCAGTACTGGCACCTGAACATACTTCTGGAGTGAAAAAATATCGTTAACCGGGGGTCCACTGTATTTACAACTATGGTAATCCACAATTTGGTGAGGAAACTTCAGATGAATTTTAAGTCTATTTTGGACTATCATAAAGTGCCATTGTATGAATGCAGTGATTAAATTTAAAGTTTGAGCAGACCACATCACAAGTTTGACCAGACCACATCACAAGTTTGACCAGACCACATCAAAAGTTTGACCATACCACATCATAAATTTGTCCAGACCACATCACAAGTTTGACCAGACCATATCACAAGTTTGACCAGACCACATCACAAGTTTGGCCAGACCACATCACAAGTTTGACCACATCTTACAAACTTTTACTCACACTTTATATACATTTATCTCTACTTTCCTGTGTGTTCCTTAATACCTCTTATCCCTGATACGGTATTTCTTTTCTAGTTTAAGAAGCCTAGTCTGAAACTGGGACACAGGGATGAAGCTCCCCGGAATGATTAACAGCTAATAAAAAGCCTATCAATATAAATCAGATATAAATAAATGGGAAGACTTCATATTAACCTAACTACAGTGTATAATTTACCATGTTCAGCAAATAAGGTTACAATATTTGTAAAATTATTTATCTAATTAATTTAATTTATGTGAACCAAACCCTGTGTGAGCTGTGTGGGTCTTTCAGTGTAAGGATCAATGTAAGTTCATTTATCAATCCACTAATCATGAGACAGCTGAATTACCAATAAGAGTTAAGAGTCCAGTAGGACAATTTAAGCAAAATTATTATTTAAAATATACAGTGCACTGAGCTATATACTGTATTCTGTAATACACTACATATATACTACTATAATCATGGAGAGCACTTAACTTGTGTGGGTCACTCAGCACAAATAATATTGCAAAATGCAAAAACTTAAACAGAGTAAGAATGTGAATTTTAGCACAGAACCATCATTCTGATTTTTTTTTAAACACGTCGGCCGTTTCACACTGAGGCAGGGTGACCCAGAAAGGAAGAAAAACCCAAAAAGAAAGAAAAAACTTTCATCATCATTCAACACTTTCACCATCACTCATACATAATCACTGTCTTTGCAGAGGCACTCAGATATGACAGCTCAGACGTCCCTCCAAACTGCCACATCCTAAGTGATTTGTGTAAATATATTTAGTGTGTAAATTCACAGTTTTCTTTGGCAATTTTTAGGTTTCACCACTAAACAATTTAATTTTTTATCTGGAAATTTCCAAAGCAAAATCAAATTTTAATCAATAATTTTACTTGTGGATCCAATGTTTACTGATACAAGACTAGAGAAATAATTACAGGTATCTGTCCAAAATATGCATAACTCAAAATGGAATAGCAAGATTTGTTTTTACGTCTGAGATTGAGGTTATAAAGTGGTTACGGAAAGCCACATTTGAACTCTAAGATTAACAAATTTCTTCTCAACATTACTTTTTTCAAATATCCCTGTTTTTTCAAAAAGACTAATTTTTTTGACACTTTTTCTGCTTTTCCTCTTCAAAACACTTGGCCAGTTGTAGGCACAGATGTATTGTATTTTTTTGAAACAAGACAATCAAGGGGCCCAAAACTGCTTCAATAAGCCTATGTTTGATCTCTTTCAATACTCTAAACAAGGGGAAAAAGTGGGGGGCAAATGGGCAAGGTTCACATCCCCATCCAGACTGCCTTATATAATAAATATCCCTTTTTTTTGTACCCTTTTTTCTTTAAAAAAAAATGGAAATCATAAAACCACTCTTCACCAGGGAAAAGGCAGGGTAACGATGATGAGTACATACAAAAACATACATAATAATGAGCAGCAATTAAAATTTTTGTGTAAAAAATTTTTTGATTAGCAAATGTTTTTTATATAGTAAATAACTTACCAGGTAAAGATTAACTTTACACTTTTATGACAAATTCTAAGTCTTAAATTTTAAAAATCCTCTCTGGCAGTAACAGAGTTAATCAAAAATGGAACATCTAATTACTTTTCTACATATATAATAAATTTGTTTTATGTGCATCAGGTTAAGAACATCAACTAAGGCAAATGATAAAACCATGTTTATCACTTTATTGTGAACTTTTATTACCAAGATCACAGATGATGGAATCTTGGTGTGAGTTTCACCACTGGCATAAGTAGAGTGATTCATGCCTTTCATACTGAGGGCTGCGATAATGACCCAAATAACCAATTTTTAGAAGAAGTCCTACACTACGGTGATTGCCAGTAATATCTAAAATAAGGAATCAACCTTACAAAGGTTTATATAAAACAGGTAAGTTCCTGTTAAGGAAATTTACTCATTAAATAATAATACAGTAATAACAGATGTATTGTGAGTTCTGGAAATAACCAATCAGAGGCCACAGGACTGCTTCAATATGCCTATGTCTGATCTTCATTAAATCTCCAATACAGTAATAATACTAATATACTGTAAAAGAGGCTAGAAATTGTCTGTTTCCTACAGATAAGAAGTGAAAAATCTACATGTCAATTTTCTACCATTAAAATGTCTACACACATTACACTGTTTGACACAGACACTGGTTCACTGACCAAACTGTTCATCACCCTCTAAACATTACGTATTGATGGGGAGAGATCAGAAAAGTATGAGTGCAACATGGCATCTTCTGCACTCATCCTCACTGCAGGATTGCAGATTAGTAGCCGCTGAAAAATAGTACAGTTTTAATGAAGACAGACAAGACAAATACAATATAAGAATGTACAAACTAAATTATACAACAAAGAATCTTAAAACTATTACTGATAAAAATAACAATTTTTGGCTGTGTGAGCATCTTAGATCAGAGTGAAAACTGGTGGTTTTTATTTCTTGATGTGCTGTTAAAGTGTGAACAAGGTAATATTTATAAAAGGATTCAGGGAAACTAGTTAGCTGGACTTAAGTCCTGAACGTGGAAAATGCAGTGCCTGTACCCTGAAGGAGGAGGTGTGGATGACACTCACTGTCATTCATTCATTCATTAACTGTCTTCCCAGAAATGTGCCAACATCACAGCTCAGATAACCTTCTGAACTGCAACATTACCACCCCTCTTTCAGATTGCAGGTCCTCTACTTCTTACTGTTTGCTTTGATGAGGAATCAGCACTGCTACAAAAGATTTAGCAAAAAATCATAACTGCACTGAAGCATAGACATATAATATGTTATTCTTATACTACTTAGGATGTGATCTTGGAGGTAGGAAGTAAAATGCTTGAACTTTAAAGGACGGCTGAGAATATGGTTCAAAGAGTTATTTGATGTGATGTCAGTATACTTTTGGAACAGATAAAGAGTGATTGTTTTGTGAATGTGTTTCTTTACTTGGGTCTCCCTAACTTGGTTGGAAACAGGTGATGAGTTAAGAAACCAGTAATCTGTTATTCTAAAGAAGATTGTGACAGAGATAATCTTTGATGTTGGTAATTTATAGGCAGAACAAAAAGAAAACTGCCATACAGTACATTAGAAAAATATATGAAGTGAGTTGTGACATTCAAATTGTACCTTGAAATTTCAGAACCAAAGGAGAAAACACAGCTAACTAGATAATATACAATACACATATTCCAGAGTTCTTTCTTTCAACACACCGGCCGTATCCCACCGAGGTGGGGTGGCCCAAAAGGAAAAACGAAAGTTTCTCCTTTTACATTTAGTAATATATACAGGAGAAGGGGTTACTAGCCCCTTGCTCCCCGGCATTTTAGTTGCCTCTTACAACACACATGGCTTATGGAGGAAGAATTCTGTTCCACTTCCCCATGGAGGTAAGAGGAAATAAACAAGAACAAGAACTAGAAAGAAAATAGAAGAAAACTCAAAGGGGTGTGTATATATATGCTTGTACATGTACATGTAGTGTGACCTAAGTGTAAGTAGAAGTAGCAAGATGTACCTGAAATCTTGCATGTTTATGAGACAGAAAAAAGGACACCAGCAATCCTTTTTCTTTCTTTCAACAAACCGGCCATATCCCACCAAGGCAGGGTGGCCCAAAAAGCAAAACGAAAGTTTCTCTTTTAAATTTAGTAATTTATACGGAAGAAGGGGTTACTAGCCCCTTGCTCCCGGCATTTTAGCCGCCTCTTACAACACGCATGGCTTACGGAGGAAGAATTCTCTTCCACTTCCCCATGGAGACAAGAGGAAATAAACAAGAACAAAAACTAGAAAGAAAATAGAAGAATACCCAGAGGGGTGTGTGTATATATATGCTTGTACATATATGTGTAGTGTTTACCTGGAGTTTACCTGGAGAGAGTTCCGGGGGTCAACGCACCTGTGGCCTGGTCTGTGACCAGGCCTCCTGGTGGATCAGAGCCTGATCAACCAGGCTGTTACTGCTAGCTGCACGCAAACCAACGTACGAGCCACAGCCCGGCTGATCAGGAACCGACTTTAGGTGCTTGTCCAGTGCCAGCTTGAAGACTGCCAGGGGTCTGTTGGTAATCCCCCTTATGTATGCTGGGAGGCAGTTGAACAGTCTCGGGCCCCTGACACTTATTGTATGGTCTCTTAACGTGCTAGTGACACCCCTGCTTTTCATTGGGGGGATGTTGCATCGTCTGCCAAGTCTTTTGCTTTCGTAGTGAGTGATTTTCGTGTGCAAGTTCGGTACTAGTCCCTCTAGGATTTTCCAGGTGTATATAATCATGTATCTCTCCCGCCTGTGTTCCAGGGAATACAGGTTCAGGAACCTCAAGCGCTCCCAGTAATTGAGGTTTTTATCTCCGTTATGCGCGCCGTGAAGGTTCTCTGTACATTTTCTAGGTCAGCAATTTCACCTGCTTGAAAGGTGCTGTTAGTGTGCAGCAATATCAGCCTAGATAGAACAAGTGACCTGAAGAGTGTCATCATGGGCTCGGCATCCCTCGTTTTGAAGGTTCTCATTTATCCATCCTGTCATTTTTCTAGCAGATGCGATCGATACAATGTTATGGTCCTTGAAGGTGAGATCCTCCGACATGATCACTCCCAGGTCTTTGACGTGGTGTTTCGCTCTATTTTGTGGCCAGAATTTGTTTTTTTACTCTGATGAAGATTTAATTTCCTCGTGTTTACCATATCTGAGTAATTGAAATTTCTCATCGTTGAACTTCATATTGTTTTCTGCAGCCCACTGAAAGATTTGGTTGATATCCGCCTGGAGCCTTGCAGTGTCTGCAATGGAAGACACTGTCATGCAGATTCGGGTGTCATCTGCAAAGGAAGACACGGTGCTGTGGCTGACATCCTTGTCTATGTCAGATATGAGGATGAGGAACAAGATGGAGCGAGTACTGTGCCTTGTGGAACAGAGCTTTTCACCGTGCCTGCTCGGACTTTACTCTGTTTGACTACTACTCTCTGTGTTCTGTTAGTGAGGAAATTATAGATCCATTGACCGACTTTTCCTGTTATACCTTTAGCACGCATTTTGTGCGCTATTATGCCATGGTCACACTTGTCAAGGCTTTGCAAAGTCTGTATATATTACATCTGCATTCTTTTTGTCTTCTAGTGCATCTAGGACCTTGTCGTAGTGATCCAATAGTGAGACAGACAGGAGCGACCTGTTCTAAACCCATGTTGCCTGGGTTGTGTAACTGATGGGTTTCTAGATGGGTGGTGATCTTGCTTCTTAGGACTCTTTCAAAGATTTTTATGATATGGGATGTTAGTGCTATCAGTCTGTAGTTCTTTGCTGTTGCTTTACTGCCCCCTTTGTGGAGTGGGGCTATGTCTGTTGTTTTTAGTAAATGTGGGACGACCCCCGTGGTCCATGCTCCTCTCCATAGGATGGTAAAGGCTCGTGATAGGGGCTTCTTGCAGTTCTTGATGAACACGGAGTTCCATGAGTCTGGCCCTGGGGCAGAGTGCATGGGCATGTCATTTATTGCCTGTTCGAAGTCATTTGGCATCAGGATAACATCAGATAGGCTTGTGTTAACCAAATTCTGTGGCTCTCTCATAAAAAATTCATTTTGATCTTCGACTCTCAGTCTGGTTAGTGGCTTGCTAAAAACTGAGTCATATTGGGACTTGAGTAGCTCACTCATTTCCTTGCTGTCCATCTGTGTAGGACCCATCTTGTTTAGTAAGGGCCCAATACTGGACATTGTTCTCGACTTTGATTTGGCATAGGAGAAGAAATACTTTGGGTTTCTTTCGATTTCATTTATGGCTTTTAGTTCTTCCCGCGATTCCTGACTCCTATAAGATTCCTTTAGCTTAAGTTCGATGCTTGCTATTTCTCTGACCAGTGTCTCCCTACGCATTTCAGATATATTGACCTCTTTTAGCCGCTCTGTTATTCTTTTCCATCGCCTGTAAAGGGAGCACATGTCTCTTTCTATTTTACATCTACTCCTCCTTTTTCTTAGAGGAATAAGCCTTGTGCATACATCGAGTGCCACCAAGTTAATCTGTTCTAGGCATAAGTTGGGGTCTGTGTTGCTTAGTATATCTTCCCAGCTTATATCGGTTAGGACTTGGTTTACTTGGTCCCACTTTATGTTATGTTTTTGTTATTGAAGTTGAATTTGGTGAATGCACCCTCGTGACTAATCTCGTTATGTCGGTCTGGGGCTCCGCGCATACATGTCTAGAAACCCCAATTATGTTGTGATCTGAGTATATTGTTTTTGATATGGTGACATTTCTTATCAGATCATCATTGTTAGTGAAGATGAGGTCTAGTGTATTCTCCATTCTAGTAGGCTCTATTATATGCTGGTTTAAATTGAATTTTGTGCAGAGATTTAAAAGCTCGTGTGAGTGTGAGTTTTCATCAGAGCTGCCTCCTGGTGTTATTACTGCAACAATATTATTTGCTATATTCCTCCATTTTAGGTGCCTTAAGTTGAAATCCCCCAGGAGCAAGATATTGGGTGCAGGAGCTGGAAGATTTTCCAGACAGTGGTCAATTTTTAACAGCTGTTTCCTGGAATTGCTGGGGATGTTGCATCTGGAGGCTTGTAGACTATCACAATGACTAGGTTTTGGTTCTCGACCTTTACTGCTAAAACTTCCACTACATCATTTGAGGCATTAAGCAGTTCTGTGCAAACAAGTGACTCTGCAATGTACAGACCCCCCCCCCCCCCCCCTTTTGCCTGTTCACTCTGTCACATCTGTATAGGTTGTAACCTGGGATCCATATTTCGTTGTCTAAGTGATCCTTTATGTGGGTCTCAGTGAAAGCCGCGAACATTGCCTTTGCCTCTGCAAGCAGTCCACGGATGAAAGGTATTTTGTTGTTTGTTGCTGGCTTTAGACCCTGTATATTTGCAAAGAAGAATGTCATCGGACTGGTGGTATTGTTGGTACTGGGGGTTGGGGATTTTTTTTCCAGCATTAGTATCTGTATCTGTTGGTTTGGAGTGGAGGCCATCGACTGTGGTTCCACTCCAGGAATGACTGGATTTGGTGTACAATTTCTGCCATTTCCTGCCAGTTTTTTTTCCTTCCTGGCACTAAAAAACCTCTCCCTCTTGAGTGGCTGTGGCTACCCAGGTTTTCCCATGGCCTGGATGTTTTGTATCTTTTTGTCCCCTTTAGATGTGTGCCTGGCAATTTAAGTTATAGCACAGTCTTTCCTGTACTGAAGAGGTACACATTTCAGGGTGAAAAGCTTACAGGAAGGGAGTTTGCATTTTCCTGTTGTCATATGGGCACGGCATTTTCTAGGGTGGTCATAGTTGCACGTCCCATCTGTTTTTCCAGATTTCCCATTTCTGCAGATACCAAGTGCATAGTATGTGCACAGGCTTGGTTTCCGTTTGCCTTGGGTTTCTGTGACTGTATTCCCTGTTGGTGCATGTTTACCTGTCTTATTCCTATCTTCCCTAGCACCAACAATGGAGCTCCCACCAGTTGTTCTCGGTAATATATCTTCACTATTGCTAGTGGAGTCCTCTTGTTTGCTATTTCCTGTTGTATTTCCTGTTTGCAATATTGGTTTTATCTTATCTTTGACTACACTTGTTTCCCCACTATGGCTCCTGTCCCCTATGAGGTCATTTACATGCATTCCTTCCTGCGTATAATTCCCGACTACCTGGACAAAATCTCCAGCTTCACCATTACCGTCTCCCAGGACAGCACCTCCAGCTTCACCATTACTGTCTCCCAGGACAGCATCTCCAACTTCACCATTACTGTCTCCCAGGACAGCATCTCCAGCTTCACCATTACTGTTTCCCAGGACAGCACCTCCAGCTTCACCATTTCTGTCTCCCAGGACAGCACCTCCAGCTTCACCATTACTGTCTCCCAGGACAGCACCTCCAGCTTCACCATTACTGTCTCCCAGGACAGCACTATCAGCCCCACATTTACTGACTACCAGGACATCACCTCCAGCCTTACAGTTTCTGACTACATGGCCAGTATCAAGGGCAGTACCATTCAGCCCAGACTTTTTATGTTCCCATCTGTTGTAGAAAGCTTCCAGGTTGTCTATGAAAGCAGCTTTGATGTTATCCTCTTTTAATACCCTTGTGATTTTAGTCCACAGATTTATCTCCTTTGGGCATACCCAAAAAACACTTCCCTGTTTTAATACTGCTTGTAGCTAGTTCTGGGATATCTGCACAAGGGGCGTGACGCCAATTTCCACAAAAATGACAATTTATCCATGTGGAAGCCCGTTTGTTTGATTTATTGCAGACTACACACAGCTTCATATGATTTGAATGGTTGATTTACTGTAATTCTACTAGCAACCTCTTGAATACTCTATTAATAACCTCTTTAAGTAAAGCTCTAGCTATCTGTATTTCTATTTCTAACTGTACTTTTATATCAGGACAGCTTACCGGAGTACGCTCCTGGAGTTTGTTTTATATTTATTGTTTGTGTTTATAAGGGCGCCTACAACCCCATCCGTTTACAGTCTGCTTTATTGTCCAACGAATCCGTTTGAAACCGGCCAAGGGTTCGACCAGTCGAGGGTTCGGTCCAGTCGAGGGTTCGGAGCCAGTCTGATCTGATCAGTGGGTCACTTATTTAAAACATACTGGTCGGTGATTTGGGCTAACACATGAAGGATCTACTGGAAAATTCTACCCGAGTAATATGTTATTTGATTGATACAAAAGTATAACTTGCATGTTGAAGAAACCGGTGACTGCTGGCAACTCCTACAGTGACGAACGGTCGAGCCTCAACCCTTGTTTATCAATCGCTGTATCTAGCTTTTCTAGTTTTTTTTTTTTTTTTTGGCCTCCACCACAATAAATGCTATATTATCACTATAGTTGACTGGTGGAAATTTTGGAGGAGGGACACTTTTTCTGTAGTAATAATTGCTTCTCGTTGTGTATATTGCGACCGCTGGTAACTACAGGTTATATGAAATTCACAGTAACATCTGGTATTTCAAGAAAAAGAAACTAATGAAAGTCACTCCACTCCACTAAGTACCATTATAATACTGGTTAGTTGCTACTACAGCACTGTATTCTGCTATTCACTGGTATCACTAGATTATATGCGAGTACACTAGCAGGCCAGGAAGATTATTAAAAACAGCTGACCTGTGGTAAGTTTCTGGCGACTTCTGGCACCTGCCTCTATAGGCTTATCACTTTATTTACAAATTCATCTGTTTTCAAATGATACTTTAGCCTTTATCATCTATATACTAGGGAGCCACTGTAGTATACACTATAACACTATGTATACACAATGCTATCAGGGAGACTTTCTTTCCTCTGACAAGAAAAGTTTAATTATTATTATTTTTTCACACGGCACCCAGGCCTATGACTCCCCTCTGGTAGTAAACTCTGCTAGGTAGTGCACACTAATTCTCCTTTTTTGACTCAGTATATAATGTTTTCCGCAAGACATACCTGAAATCTTGCATGTTTATGAGACAGACAAAAGACACCAGCAATCCTACCATCATGTAAAACAATTACAGGTTTTCGTTGTACACTCACTTGGCAGGAAGGTAGTACCTCCCTGGGCGGTTGCTGTTTACCAACCTACTACCTATGTGTAGTAACATACCTGTAATAAATCTCTTCCTTTACTGCTGAGTTTTGGACAAACTTGAGCTAAGGTCATGGTGGGTTGGTAGAGGGGAAATGTTTTGTAGTCGGGTAGTGAGTTCATCCCTGGCCACGTCTCCTCAGTAGGAGTCCCCAAAAGTTTGAATATACGCTTTACCTGGTCATCGACGTCACTTCCTGGGAAAAGCGGTCGTCCAGCATTTGCTAATTCTGAATCACAAGAAAATGTTACATGAAATATAGTCCTTATTTATAAAAAAAGATTTACACCAGAAAATAGGATTTTTATAACAAGTTTACAAATATAACAAAATTATAATATCACTACTGTGGTAAGACTAATGAGTTTGCATTTCTGGCAAGACAGTTATAGGAATGATGGTTTATACAGTAGACAATCATTTAACAGGGTAGTTACGTTCCTGAAAATGCCGTGCTAGGTAAAATCGTGTTAGGGTTATGTTCCTGGGAGCCCCCCAAAAGCCAAACAACTTTTTTTTAGACCAACACATCTTACAAAAATAAAAGTGAATATGTAATTGTAGTTCATTGTTGTGATATATTACTGCTTAAGACTACAAATGCAATAGAAATAATAGCATTTCTTACCTTACACTGTGGGTAATGGTGTTTGTGGATGATTGTGAAGAGAGTGGATATGGATTTTGTGGCCCTACTGGGCTGAGGTGGATGGTTGTTGGTTGTCGCCAGAAGTGGATGGTTGAGGTTCTGGTACTGAAGTCGATGGTTGTATTGGAGTGTACATAAATTCTGTAATGGATCTCTGGGCTCTTTTACCCTGCAGTACATTATACAGCTGACAGTAAGGCATCATCAGCTGGTCTAGACCCCGTTTCAAAGCACTGCTTCTAGATTTGTCAGGGTCCTCTTCAGTGAAAAAGTCTGCAACTTTACCAATAATATGGAACTGCTCATGTAACTGCTGCAATGTTAACTGTTTTTCTTCAGGTTATTATTCGTCTTCTGTTATCTCCCTCCCTTGTATCTGTGGATCGATCTCTGCAACAATTCACTCCTGGAACTCCTGTCTTTCATCATCATTATTTCTAAGTAGCTCATTCACATCTTCTTCATTCATATCTTCAAAACCATCACCTGGTAATCTTGCCAGCTGAACAATTTCTTGAACCTGATTCTCAAGCACAGGGAAAACCATGAAAGAATCAACTACAGAAGGCCATAACTTTCTCCCCCAGACGGCAATTTAATGCCATTGGGGCCACTTCTTTTTTTCCCCCCAATTCCATGCCTTCTTGCATAGCTGATAGCATCTGCAATGTTAAGTTTATTTCCAGAAGCTTCGTACTGGACAAGTTGGAGTCAAAGTCATTAATGCAACTAAGTTTTCTAATAACTTTTTTGTTTGGTGTACTACATTATTAATTATTTTAATTATTATCACATTGGCCGATTCCCATCCAAGGCAGGGTGGCCCGAAAAAGAAAAACTTTCACCATCATTCACTCCATCCACTGTCTTGCCATAAGGGTGCTTTACACTACAGTTTTTTAAACTGCAACATTAAACCCCTCCTTCAGAGTGCAGGCACTGTACTTCGCATCTCCAGGACTCAGTCCGGCCTGCTGTTTCCCCTGTATCCCTTCATAAATGTTACTTTGCTCAACACTTACTCCAACAGCAAGTCAGTATTGAAAAACCATTGTCTCCAATCACTCCTTAACAAACACGCTCACGCATGCCTGCTGGAAGTCCAAGCCCCTCGAACACAAAACCGTCCTTTACCCCCTCCCTCCAACCTTTCCTAGGCCGACCCCTACCCCCTCCTTCCTTCCTCCACTACAGACTGATACACTCTTTGAAGTCATTCGTTTCGCTCCATTCTCATCTACATGTACGAACCACCTCAACAACCCATTCTCAAGCCCTCTGGACAACAGTTTGGTAATCCCCGCACCTCCTCCTAACTTCTCAACTACGAATTCTCTGCAATATATTCACACACACATTGCCCTAAGACACATGACATCTCCACTGCCTCCCCTTCTCCTCGCTGCAACATTCATCATCCCAAACGCTTCACACCATATAAGAGCGTTGAAAAACTAAACACTCATACATTCCCCTCTTTGCCTCCAAGGACAAAGTTCTTTGTCTCCACAACTCCTAAGTGGACACCACTCACCTCCTTTTACCCTCATCAATTCTATGATTCACCACACTTTCATAGACCCCATCCGCTGACATGTCCACTCCCAAATATAAGAATATTTCACCTCCTCCATACATCTCTCACCTCCAATCTGATATCCAATCTTCATCACCTAATCTTTTTGTTATCCTCATAAACTTACTCTTTCCTGTATTCACCTTTATTTTTCGTTCTTTTGCACACCATAGCCAAATTCATCCACAATCTCTGCCAACTTCTCCTCTTCAGAATCTCCCAGAGCACAGTGTCATCATCAAAGAGCAGCTGTGACTACTCCCACTTTGTTTGTGCTTCTTTATACTTTTTAACTCATCCACGCGCCTCTTGCCAAGACCCTCGCATTTACTTCTCTTACAACCCATCTAATAAATATTATTAAACACCATTGTGACATCAACAAATCCTTGTCTGAAGGCCTATTTAACTGTGGGAAAAAATTTCCCTCTTTCCTACATACACTAACTTGAGCCTCACTATCCCTCGTAAAAACTCTTCCACTGCTTTCCAGTAACCTACCTCTACACCATACACTTGCAACAATCAGCCACAATGCCCCCTACCAATCCACCCTGTCAACACCTTTTCAAATCCATAAATGCCACAAAGACCTCTTAGATCCTTATCTAAATACTGTTCACGATATATGTTTCACTGTAAACACCTGGTCCACACACCCCCTACCTTTCCTAAAGCCTCCTTTTCATCTGCTATCCATTCCCTCCGTCTTTACTCTTAATTCTTTCCAATTATAACTCTACCATACACTTTAAACAGGTATACTCAACAGACTTATCCCCCTATAAATATTTGCCTCTCTTTTATCCCCTTGCCTTATACAAAGGAACTATGCATGCACTCTGCCAATCCCTAGGTACGCTACCCACTTCCATACAATTATTAAATTTTGCACCAACCACTCCAAAACTTTATCCCCACCGCTTTTAACTATTCTATCTTTCCCATCATCCCGGCTGCCTACCCCCCTTCATTTTACCTACTGCCTCACGAACTTCCCCACACTACACAACTGGTCTTCCTCACTCCCTACAATATGTTATCCTCCTTGCCCAAACACTAAATCACAGCAACCTCCCTATCTTCACAACATTTAACAATTCCTCAAAATATTCCCTCCATCTTCCCAATACCTCTAAACTCTCCATTTAATACATCTCCTCTCCTATTTTAACTGACAAATCCATTTTGTTTCTCTATGCTTTCTTAACTTGTTAATCTCACTCCAAAACTTTTTCATATTTTCAACAAAATTGTTGAAAACATCTCACCCACTCTCTCATTTGCTCTCTTTTTACATTGCTTCACCCACTCTCTTTAACCTCTCTCTTTTTCTCCATATCCTCTCCCTCCTTGCATCACTTCTACTTTGTAAAAACTTTCCCATATGCTAACTTTTTCTCCCTTACACTCTCTTTACATCATCACCCACCAATCGCTCCTCTTCCCTCCTGCACCCACTTTCCTGTAACCACAAACTTCTGCTGAACACTCTAACACTACATTTTTAAACCTAACCCCATACCTCTTCGACCCCATTGCCTAGGCTCTCATTACCCCATCTATCCTCCAATAGTGTTTATATCTTAACCTAACTGCCTCCTGTTTTATTTTATAAACCTTCACCTCTCTCTTTCCCTGATGCTTCTATTCTCCTTGTATCCCATCAAACCTTTTACTCTCAGTGTAGCTACAACTAGAAAGTGTTTCTGATATATCTGTGGCCCCTCTATAAACATGTACATCCTGAAGTCTACTCAACAGTCTTTTATCTACCAATATATAATCCAACAAACTACTGTCATTTTCCCCTACATCATATCTTGTATACTTATTTATCCTCTTTTTCTTAAATATGTATTACCATAACTAAACCCCCTTTCTATACAAATTTTCAATCAAAGGGCTCCCATTATCATTTACACCTGGCACCCCAAACTTACCTACCACACCCTCTCTAAAAGTTTCTCCTACTTTAGCATTCAGGTCCCCTACCACAATTACTCTCTCACTTGGTTCAAAGGCTCCTATACATTCACTTAACATCTCCCAAAATCTCTCTCTCTCCTCTGCATTCCTCTCTTCTCCAGGTGCATACACGCTTATTAAAGACCCCACTTCTCACATCCAACCTTTACTTTAATCCACATAATTCTTGAATTTACACATTCATATTCTCTTTTCCCCTTCCATAATGATCATTTAACATTACTGCCACCCCTTCCTTGCTCTAACTCTCTCAGATACTCCAGATTTAATCCCATTTTTTTTTCCCCCACTGAAACTCTCTACCCCCTTCAGCTTTGTTTCGCTTTGGGCCAGGACATCCAACTTCTTTTCATCATAACATCAGCAATCATCGTTCTTGTCATCTGCACTACATCCACGCACATTTAAAACATCCCAGTTTTATAAAGTTTTTCTTCTTCTCTTTTTTAGTAAATGTCTACAGGAGAAGGGGTTACTACCCATTGCTCCCGGCATTTTAGTCGCCTCATACGACAAAGCATGGCTTTCGGAGGGAAAAATTTTTTCCACTTCCCCATGGACAATAGAAGAAATAAAGAAGAACAAGAGCTATTAGAAAAAGGAGAAAAATTTTAGATTAGTAAAATATTGCCTTTGGGTCTGTGAAGTGTGACCAAATGTAAGTGGAGTAAAAGATATCCTGTTTATCTAGCGTGTTTATGAGACAGAAAAAAACCAGAATCCTCCCATCATGAAAACAGAAAGGGTTTTTTGAAATCGGGGAAATTGAAAAATTAGAGACGTATTTGGAGGTAAGAATACAATTTTTACTGTGCAGCAAACCGAAAAGCTTGTGGAGGGGTAGGGGAATTATCAAGAGAAGGAGCCTTTGAATGCAAGGTTCTTGCTGGCAAGTAAAATTTGGGCTTCGGGAAAAAAGTGTGCTTAAACCAAAATAAATATTTCCTCTTCATCCAGCTGAAGTTTGCCCTAAAATTACGGGAAAGGTTTTTTATCTCATTTTTAAAAACACGAGATTTTAGAGGGGGTAATAACCCGGGCTTGACTTGAAATCACCTATGCATTACCGCAAAGGAGCAATTGAAGCGATTTCCCTTTTCTTCTTAAGCCCCGGGGGCCTTTTCTTTGCTGACTGTAAAAATTCTGTTTGGGATTTTTTTCAAAAAAATGTCGTCCATCAGCATTTAAAACTTTTATGTGGCTCATAGCCCCCTCAGAAAAATTTCCTGTAATTTTGCAGGGAAAATTATTGCTGCGTAGATACGAAGCACTTTCACCCGAAAACTTAATTTTGCAAATTAAAGTTTTTGGAACCCAACAGTGCAAAAAAAACCTTGTTTTCAGGCCCTTTCCCTTACAACACTGTTTTAATAACTTAAAGGGTTTTCCCTAATGGTTAAATTAAAATTTTTGCACCTTTCTTTGCCTTTTGTTCGATCCACTCAAGCAACAAGTTTTCTGTTTTGTTTACTTGTTGTGATCTACGTGTCGTTCTTTTCATGAGATGACATCTTGGGTTATTCATTACACAAGCTCGTATATTCACCTCATTCTTTCTAATTGTACAAACTGACACTTCATGAAGGCCATGGGCCCTCGCTATATCCACCACACGTGAGCCACTCTTAAGCTTATCTAATATCTCGATTTTCTTTGTAATTCTTAGACGTACATGCTGCAACCTTTTCTTGCCACTTTCAGCAACACTCATATGCCTACTAGGTGCCATGATTGCTCGGCAGATTTAAGATATGGCAATTAAAATAAATATCTAAACAAACACAGCAAGCTCCCAGAAGATCGTTCTATACGCTATGAGCCGAACTGAAGGCTAGGAGGGTGGTGAGGGTGGGTGGCTCAGGGTGGTGGGGTTGGTGGTAGGCCTCCCCTATTGACTCAATGGTGTAGCCCACAGCCAATCCCGTGGGTGACTGCGGGCTCAAAATTTTTTCCCCTCCTGCAAACTGAACCGTGTTAAATTAATTTTATGAAGTGTTAAATAATATTGTGCCATAATTCTTCAATCGTGCTACATCTGAATCGTGCCAAATAAACTCGTGCTAAATGATGGTCTACTGTATGTACAGCCTCTCTTCACTTAACCCCTTAACTGTCCAAATGTAGATCTACGTTCTCTCGCCCAGCGCTCTGAATATTTTGAATTTTTTTTTTTTTTAAATAAAGAGGATTTACACCCTCAGTACTTTATTAATATCACCTTTATTTGTCCCCATCATCCACTTATACACCTCGATGATATCTCCCTTCATTCTACGTCTCTCCAGAGAGTGGAGATTCAAGATTCTAAGTCTATCTTCATATGGGAGATTCCTTATACAGTAAATCATTTTAGTCATTCTTCTCTGTATGTTCTCCAATGAGTCTATATCCATCCTGTAGTACGGAGACCAAAACTGAGCGGCATGATCTAAATGAAACGTTACTAGTGATATATAGAGCTGTAAAATAACTTTTGAACTTCTGTTACTTACACTTCTTGAAATAAATCCTAGTAATCTGTAAGTACTAGTTTTCAAACAGAGTTGTGGATGTGTGGAATGGTCTTCCGAGTAGGGTGATCAAAGTTACGACCTTGGATAGCTTTAAAAAGAGATTGGACAAATATATGAGTGGAAGGGGCTGGGTTTGATTGGTGTCATGGGTACGGGAGTAAATTCTTGGGTAGTTTAAGGTAGGGGTGGTTTTGATAAGGACCTGCTTCGTATGGACCAATAGGCTTTCTGCAGTGTTCCGCCATTCTTATGTTCTTATGTTTAGCTACTACACATTAGTCAATATACACAACAGTACTGGTACCTTACACACGACTCACCAGCAAATATGCAGCCAGCAGACCACATATCAATTGAGGTGTTGTAAAGCTTGGCACCAAACAGGACATCTGGTGGCCGGTACCACAAAGTCACCACCTCCGCTGAGTAGCATCGTACTGGAATGCCAAAGGCTCGAGCCAAGCCAAAATCTGCCAGTTTCAACTCTCCATTCTACAACATTTATAAATTATATTTCTTAGTATTTTTTAAAATAATTGTCCTGCAAAATTAGTCGTGTCTAACAGTACCAAAAAAAGATGAAAAACAAACACATGTAGGGGGGTATACTGAACATATTTTTTTACATAAGAGAGACAGAAAAGGGAGAAACATGTTGGTTAAATTGTGCTCAAGTACTGCACTGTAATAACCAATTAACCAAGCTTAAAAAGCATGTGACAATTCTTCTACTGTGCTTAGCAATGTGTGCTGTATGCAATGGGTACATAAGCTGTGTAGTAGTACCATAATTAAAGGACAGTAAATAAATTTATATTACATAGTATATGGATTTGTCAGTTAAAAATAGGAGAGGAGAGTTATTAAATGGAGAGTTAGAGGTATTGGGAAGATGGAGGGAATATTTTGAGGAATTGTTAAATGTTGATGAAGATAGGGAAGCTGTGATTTCGTGTATAGGGCAAGGAGGAATAACATCTTGTAGGAGTGAGGAAGAGCCAGTTGTGAGTGTGGGGGAAGTTCGTGAGGCAGTAGGTAAAATGAAAGGGGGTAAGGCAGCCGGGATTGATGGATAAAGATTAGAAATGTTAAAGCAGTTGGGATATAGTTTTGGAGTGGTTGGTGCAATTATTTAATAAATGTATGGAAGAGGGTAAGGTTAACTAGGGATTGGCAGAGAGCAGCATAGTTCCTTTGTATAAAGGCAAAGGGGACAAAAGAGAGTGCAAAAATTATAGGGGATAAGTCTGTTGACTATACCTGTTAAAATGTATGGTAGGGGTTATTATTGAAAGAATTAAAAAATAAGACGAGAATAGGATAGCAGATGAACAAGGAGGCTTAGGAAAGGAGGGGGTGTGTGGACCAGGTGTTTACAGTGAAACATATAAGTGAACGTATTTAGATAAGGCTAAAGAGGTCTTTGTGGCATTTATGGATTTGGAAAAAGGCGTATGACAGGGTGGATAGGGGGGCAATGTGGAGATGTTGGGAGGGGTATGATGTAGGAGGTAAAGGGTTTAAAGAAAGCAGTGAAGAGTTTTTACGAGGTAGTGAGGGTCAAGTTTGAGTACAAAAGGAAAGTAAGGAAATTATTTCCCAGTAAAAGTAGGCCTTAGACAAGGATGTGTATGTCACCATGTTGTTTAATATAAATTTTTAGATGGGGTTGTAAGGGGAAGTAAATGCGAGGGTTTGGGAAGAGGCGTGGAGTTAAAAGATAAAAAATCACACACAAAGTGGGAGTTGTCACAGCTGCTCTTTGCTGATGACACTGTGCTTTTTGGGAGATTCTGAAGAGAAGTTGCAGAGATTGGGTGGATGAAATTTTGGGAGGGTGTGCAAAAGAAGATTTTATTATTATAATCAAAAAGAAGCGCTAAGCCACAAGGACTATACAGCGTGCAAAAGAAGAAAATTAAAGGTGAATACAGGAAAGAGTAAGGTTATGAGGATAACAAAAAGATTAGGTGATGAAAGATTGAATATCAGATTGGAGGGAGAGAGTATGGAGGAGGTGAATGTATTCAGATATTTGGGAGTGGACGTGTCAGCGGATGGGTCTATGAAAGATGAGGTGAATCATAGAATTGATGAGGGGAAAAGAGTGAGTGGTGCACTTAGGAGTCTGTGGAGACAAAGAACTTTGTCCTTGGAGGCAAAGAGGGGAATGTATGAGAGTATAGTTTTACCAACGCTCTTATATGGGTGTGAAGCAGGGGTGATGAATGTTGCAGCGAGGAGAAGGCTGGAGGCAGTGGAGATGTCATGTCTGAGGGCAATGTGTGGTGTGAATATAATGCAGAGACTTCGTAGTTTGGAAGTTAGGAGGAGGTGCGGGATTACCAAAACTGTTGTCCAGAGGGCTGAGGAAGGGTTGTTGAGTGGTTCGACATGTAGAGAGAATGGAGCGAAACAGAATGACTTCAAGAGTGTATCAGTCTGTAGTGGAAGGAAGGTGGGGTAGGGTAGGCCTAGGAAAGGTTGGAGGGAGGGGGTAAAGGAGGTTTTGTGTGCGAGGGGCTTGGACTTCCAGCAGGCATGCGTGAGCGTGTTTGATAGGAGTGAATGGAGACAAATGGTTTTTATACTTGACGTGCTGTTGGAGTGTGAGCAAAGTAACATTTATGAAGGGGTTCAGGGAAACCGGCAGGCCGGACTTGAGTCCTGGAGATGGGAAGTACAGTGCCTGCACTCTGAAGGAGGGGTGTTAATGTTGCAGTTTAAAAACTGTAGTGTAAAGCACCCTTCTGGCAAGACGGTGATGGAGTGAATGATGGTGAAAGTTTTTCTTTTTCAGGCCACCCTGCCTTGGTGGGAATTGGCCAGTGTGATAAAAAAAAAAAAAAAAAAAATGGGGTTGTAAGAGAAGTAAATGCGAGGGTCTTGACAAGAGGCGTCGAGTTAAAAGATAAGGAATCACACATAAATTGGGAGTTGTCACAGTTGCTCTTTGCTGATGACACTGTGCTCTTGGGAGATTCTGAAGAGAAGTTGCAGAGATTAGTGGATGAATTTGGTAGGGTGTGCAAAAGAAGAAAATTAAAAGTGAATACAGGAAAGAGTAAGGTTATGAGGAAAAACAAAAATATTAGGTGATGAAAGATTGGATATCAGATTGGAGGGAGAGAGTATGGAGGAGGTGAATGTAATTCAGATATTTGGGAGTGGACGTATCAGCGGATGGGTCTATGAAGGATGAGGTGAATCATAGAAATGATGGGGGAAAAGGGTGATGGTGCACTTAGGAGTTGTGGAGACAAAGAACTTTGTCCTTGGAGGCAAAGAGGGAATGTATGAGAGTATAGTTTTACCAAACACTCTTATATGGGTGTGAAGCATGGGTGATGAATATTGCAGCGAGGAGAAGGCTGGAGGCAGTGGAGATGTCATGTCTGAGGGCAATGTGTGGTGTGAATATAAGCAGAGAATTCGTAGTTTGGAAGTTAGGAGGAGGTGCGGGATTACCAAAACTGTTTCCAGAGGGTGAGGAAGGGTTGTTGAGGTGGTTCGGACATGTAGGAGAATGGAGCGAAACAGAATGACTTCAAAGGTATCAGTCTGTAGTGGAAGGAAGGCGGGGTAGGGGTCGGCCTATGAAAGGTTGGAGGGAGGGGGTAAAGGAGGTTTTGTGTGAGAGGGGCTTGGACTTCCAGCAGGCATGCGTGAGCGTGTTTGATAGAAGTGAATGGAGACGAATGGTTTTTAATACTTGAAGTGCTGTTGGAGTGTGAGCAAAGTAACATTTATGAAGGGGTTCAGGGAAACAGTGATGGAGTGAATGATGGTGAAAGTTTTTCTTTTTCGGGCCACCCTGCCTTGGTGGGAATCGGCCAGTGTGATAATAAAAAAATAAAATAAAAAAAATAAATATTTCATTAGAATTTTCATGAATTTACTTAATAACTAATATCTTACATATTTTTTATATGTTTTGTTTTTCTTTGTATTATAGTACAATATACAGTAGTATTAGTATATTATTAAAATGATTTTTAAATTTTTGGTCAAAAAATTAACTGAATGAAAAGAATTTCCCATGACAAATTCTCCACTCAAGGAAATACATCTGTGACTCTTTAGGATACTACACAAAATTTTCAGTTCTTCAGATACTTTTATAAAGCTCTTATACTTTATTTGTATATTTTTTAACACACCTGCTATTTCCCATGAAGGTATAGTGATCCATCAAAGGAAGACAAATTAACCATTTCTCATTTCTTACCTGTCTTTCTAGTAGTGCAAGGACATTACAGTTTAAATGAACCACTGAATATCCTCACCCATCCCTCAGAACTAAAGTCTGCTTAGAGGGTTTCTCTGAATCTCTTCGTAGTTGTTTCTTTGTTTACACTCCAACACCACAGCAAATCTCAAAAACCCCTTGTCTTCACTTTTTCTGACTTAACATGCTCAGGTATGCTTACTGGATGCTCATTCCCTTACCTTATTTATGAGAAGATTTTGGGGTTTGAGATCACGATGAAGTACATTTCTACTGTGACAAAATTCTAACCCTCTCAGCAGCTGGAACCTGAAACAGCCAAAGTAATATTTAATACTGATTCAGAAAATTACTATTTTTACATTCATGAGGAATTACTAAACCTGAAGGGGCTATACAACACCTAGGAAAGGGCAGGCACTCAGGTTTGATCTGGGGAAAGGCAGCTTTATCTCCTTGGAGTAATCACAACAGCTATTCCTCATCAAAGCTGGGTGATCAAAGAAAAACACTTATCATTCCCTAGTGGTCCTCTTAGAAGTACATGGACATAACATTTTAAAGAATCAACCAACCTGTCACACTGCACCTCATCCCTCAGAATGTAAGCACCATACTTCTCTCCCCTGGCTAATTGGTTTACCTCTAGAAATTAATCGACTAATATCCACTCAAAGAGTACATTAAAGCCCAAAAACTGCATTTTCCACATACTCTAATATAACATACAGTATGCCTGCTGGATGCTCATGCCCATACCTCTGAAAATCTCCCAGTTTTTCCTGGATTGTCCCAACACTTTTTCATCTACCCTCAAATAAATACGTACACCCTTTTGGTCAGCCAGTCTTCTTCCATCCATTCCAAATTTCAAAACTACCTCAATAATTCCTCCTTCTCTCTCTAAATATTATTATTATTATTATTTTTTCAACACACTGGCCGTTTCCCACTGAGGCAGGGTGACCCAAAAAAAGAAAACACTTTAACCATCATTCACACATAATCTGTATTTTTTTTTTTAACACGCTGGCCATTTCCCACCAAGGCAGGGTGACCCAAAAGAAAGAAAAACTCCAAAAGAAAGAAAAAAAACTTTCATTATCATTCAACTCTTTCACCATCACTCATACATAATCACTGTCTTTGCAGAGGTGCTCAGATATGACAGTTTAGATAGTCACTCCAAACTGCCAATATCTCAAACCCCTCCTTGAAATTGCAGGCATTGTACTTCCCATTTCCAGCACTCAAGTCTGGCTAACCAGTTTCTCTGAATTCCTTCACAAAACATTACCCTGCTCACACTCCAACAGCTCATCAGGTCCCAAAAACCATTTGTCTCCATTCACACCTAACGCGCTAACGCACTCTTGCTGGAAATCCAAGCCCCTCACCCACAAAACCTCCTTTACCCCTTCCCTCCAGCCTTTTTGAGGGTGACCCCTACTCCGCCTTCCTTCCCTACAGATTTACACGTTCTCCAAGTCATTCTACTTTGTTCCATTCTCTCTAAATGACCAAACCACCTCAACAACCCCTCTTCAGCCCTCTGACTAATAGTTTTAGTAACTCCACACATACTCCTAATTTCTACACTATGAATCCTTTGCATAATATTTAAACCACACATTGCCCTTAGACAGGAAATCTCCACCACCTCCAGCTGCCTCCTTGCTGCAGCATTTACAACCCAAGCTTCAAACCCATATAAGTGTTGGTACCACTATACTTTTGTACATTCCCTTCTTTGCCTCCATGGATAAAATTTTTTGTCTCCACAGATATCTCAATGCATCACTCACCTTTTTTCCTTCATCAATTCTATGGTTAACCTCATCTTTCATAAACCCCTCCGCTGACAAGTCAGCTCCCAAATATCTGAAAACATTCATTTCTTCCATAATCCCATATATTACTAAATTTAAAAAAAAGACTTTTGTTTTTCTTTTAAGGCCACCCTGCCTTGGTGGATACGGACATGAGTCCTTGAGGTGGGAAGTACAATGCCTGCACTTTAAAGCAGGAGTTTGGGATATTGGCTGTTTTGAGTGACATCTACACTGTCATATCTGGGCATCTCTGCAAAGATTATGTTTGAATGATGGTGAAAATGTTTTCTTTCTTTTTTGGGTCGCCCTGCTTCACTGGGAGAAGGCCGGCGTGTTGAAAAAAAAAATACATACACACACACACACACACACACATAAATATATATATACAGTGGACCCCCGGTTAACGATTTTAATCCGTGCAAGAGGGCTCATCGTTATGCGAAATAATCGTTATGCGAATTAATTTTCCCCATAAGAAATAATGGAAATAAAATTAATCCGTGCAAGACGCCCAAAAGTATGAAAAAAAAATTTTTTTACCACATGAAATGTTAATTTTAATACACACAAACTGAAAAAGGCATGCACAATTACATGACACTTACTTTTATTGAAGATCTGGTGATGATTGAGGGGATGGGAGGGGGGGAGAGCATTAATCTTCTTACTGTTTAGAAGGGGAACCCCCTTCCATTGGGATTTGAGGTAGCAAGTCCTTTCTGGGGTTACTTCCCTTTTTCTTTTAATGCCACTAGGACCAGTTTGAGAGTCACTGGACCTCTGTCGCACAACAAATCTGTCCATAGAGCTCTGTACCTCCCGTTTCTTCAAGACTTTCCTAAAATGGGCCCATAACATTGTCTTTGAAATATCACAAGCACGGCTTGCAAACAGCTGTGTCAGGGTGATTTTCATCTAAAAAGGGTTTGGCAGTTCAAACCACTCTGCACACATTTCCTTAATCTTTGAAGTAGGCACAATGGTTTCCACAACGGGCATAGGCTTCTCAGGGTTAGCCCCAAACCCTTCAAAATCTTTCTTAATTTCCATACTATTCTCACCCTTTTACCACAGGGTTTGGCACTAAAAGGGCTTTCTTGGGGCCCATGGTCATTATTTTCCAGAAACACCACCGAAAACCTGTAATAATACGAAATATTCCGAGTGTATGCTTGGATTTTACCCGCGGAGGCTGGCTGGTAAACAATGGGACGGCCGGCACATGTGAGGGCACTTTGGGACGCGTCTCGGACGAAAATCGGTATGCGGGTTTTTAATCGGTATGGGGGGCAAAAATTTTGCGATAAAAGTAATCGTTATGCGGAAAAATCGCTATGCGTGCCATCGTTATGCGGGGGTTCCACTGTATAAAAATATATTTTTTTTTTTCAACAAGTCGGCCATCTCCCACCGAGGCAGGGTGACCCAAAGAGAAAGAAAATCCCCAAAAAGAAAATACTTTCATCATCATTCAACACTTTCACCTCCCTCACACATAATCACTGTTTTTTGCAGAGGTGCCCAAAATACACCAGCTTAGAAGTATATATGTATAAAAATACACAATATATCTCTCCAAACTGCCAATATCCCAAACCCCTTCTTTAGAGTGCAGGCATTGTACTTCCCATTTCCAGGACTCAAGTCCGGTTATATAAAATAACCGGTTTCCCTGATCCTTTCACTAAATAGTACCCTGCTCCACTCCAACAGTTCGTCAGGTCCCAAATACCATTTGTCTCCATTCACTCCTATCGAACACGCTCATTCACGCCTGCTGGAAGTCCAAGCCCCTCGCCCACAAAACCTCTCTTACCCCTTCCTTCCAACCTTTTTGAGGACGACCCCTACCCCACCTTCCTTCCCCTACAGATTTAAATGCTCTCCATGTCATTCTACTTTGATCCATTCTCTCTAAATGACCAAACCACCTCAACAACCCCTCTTCAGCCCTCTGACTAATACTTTTATTAACTCCACACTTTCTCCTAATTTCCACACTCCGAATTTTCTGCATAATATTTACACCACACATTTTCCTTAGACAGGACAACTCTACTGCCTCCAACCACCTCCTCGCTGCTGCATTCACAACCCAAGCTTCACACCCATATAAGAGTGTTGGTACTATACTATACTTTCATACATTCCCTTCTTTGCCTCCATAGATAATGTTTTTTGTCTCCACATATACCTCAACGCACCACTCATCTTTTTCAGACAGATGTATGAAGGATGAGGTTAACCATAGAGTTGATGAAGGAAAAAATTTGAGTGGTGCATTGAGGTATACGTGGAGACAGAAAACATCATCTATGGAGGCAAAGAATGGAATGTATGAAAGTATAGTAGTACCAACACTCTTATATGGGTGTGAAGCATGGGTTGTAAATGCTGCAGCGAGGAATCAGTGGAGATGTCCTGTCTAAGGGCAATGTGTGGTGTAAATATTATGCAGAGAATTCGGAGTGTGGAAATTTGGGGAAGATGTGGAGTTAATAAAAGTAAGAGTCAGAGGGGTGAAGAGGGGTTGTTGAGGTGGTTTGGTCATTTTGAGAGAATGGATCAAAGTAGAATGACATGGAAGGCGCATAAATCTGTAGGGGAAGGAAGGTGGGGTAGGGGTCGTCCTCGAAAAGGTTGGAGGGAGGGGGTAAAGGAGGTTTTGTGGGAGAGGGGCTTGGACTTCCAGCAAGCATGCGTGAGCATGTTAGATAGGAGTGAATGCAGACGAATGGTGTTTGGGACCTGACGAGCTGTTGGAGTGTGAGCAGGGTAATATTTAGTGAAGGGATTCAGGGAAACCGGTTATTTTATATAATTGGACTTGAGTCCTGGAAATGGGAAGTACAATGCCTGCACTTTAAAGGAGGGGTTTGGGATATTGGCAGTTCGGAAGGATATATTGTGTATTTTTATATGTATATACTTCTAAACTGTTGTGTTCTGGGCACCTCTGCAAAAACAGTGATTATGTGTGAGTGAGGTGAAAGTGTTGAATGACGATGAAAGTAGTTTCTTTTTGGGGATTTTCTTTCTTTTTGGGTCACCCTGCCTCGGTGGGAGACAGCCGACTTGTTGAAAATAAAAAAAATTCAGGGAAACCGGTTATTTTTATATAGCCGGACTTGAGTACTGGAAATGGGAAGTACAATGCCTGCACTCTAAAGGAGGGGTTCGGGATATTGGCAGTTTGGAGGGATATGTTGTGTATCTTTATACGTATATGCTTCTAAACAGTTGTGTTCTGGGCACCTCTGCAAAAACAGTGATTATGTGTGAGTGAGGTGAAAGTGTTGAATGATGATGAAAGCATTTTCTTTTTGAGGATTTTCTTTTTGGGTCACTGTGCCTCAGTGGGAGATGGCCAACTTGATAAAAAAAAAAATATATATATACAGTGGACCCCCGCATAGCGAACGCCTTGCATAGCGAACAATCCGCATAGCGAACGCTTTGTTCGCTAAAATTTTGCCCCGCTTAGTGGACAAAAACCCGCTCAGCGACCTTCGTCCGAGACGCGTCCAATGTGCGCCCTCAGCCAGCCTCACATGTGCCGCCCGTCCCATTGTTTACCAGCCAGCCTCCGCGGTAACATTCAAGCATACACTCAGAATATTTCGTATTATTACAGTGTTTTCGGTGCTGTTTGTGGAAAATAAGTGACCATGGGCCCCAAGAAAGCTTCTAGTGCCAACCCTACACCTCAAAGGGTAAGAATACCCATTGAAATGAAGAAAGAGATCATTGATAAGTATGAAAGTGGAGTACGTATCACCGACCTGGTCAGGTTGTACAAGAAACCAAAATCAACCATCGCTTCTATGTGGGCAAGAAAACGGCAATCAAGGAAGCTGTTGTTGCCAAAGGTTTAACTGTGTTTTCGAAACAAAGATCGCAAGTGATGGAAGATGTTGAAGACTCTTATTGGTGTGGATAAATGAAAAACAGCTAGCAGGAGATAGCGTCTCTCAAGCGATCATATGTGAAAAGGCTAGGAAGTTGCATGACGATTTAATTAAAAAAATGCCTGCAACTAGTGATGATGTGAGTGAATTTAAGGCCAGCAAAGGTTGGTTTGAGAGATTTAAGAAGCGTAGTGGCATCCATAGTGTGATACGGCATGGTGAGGCTGCCAGTTCGGACCACAAAGCGGCTGAAAAATATGTGCATGAATTCAAGGAGTACATAGAAACTGAAGGACTGGAACCTGAACAAGTGTTTAATTGTGATGAAACAGCCTGTTCTGGAAGAAAATGCCAAGCAGGACCTACATTACTCAGGAGGAAAAGGCACTCCCAGGACATAAGCCTATGAAAGACAGGCTTACTTTGTTGATGTGTGCCAATGCTAGTGTGATTGCAAAGTTAAGCCTTTATTAGTGTATCACTCTGAAACTCCCAGAGCGTTCAGGCAAAAGAATGTCCTCAAGGATAATTTGTGTGTGCTGTGGAGGGCAAACAGTAAGGCATGGGTCACTAGGGAATTTTTCTATAACTGGTTACACCATGCATTTGCCCCCAATGTGAAAGATTACCTAACTGAAAAGAATTAGACCTTAAGTGCCTCCTGGTGTTAGACAATGCCCCTGGTCATCCTACAGACGTGGCAGAGCGACTTTATGGGGACATGAGCTTCATTAAGGTGAAGTTTTTGCCTCCTAATACCACTCCTCTCCTGCAGCCCATGGACCAGCAGGTCATTTCCAACTTCAAGAAACTGTACACAAAAGCTCTGTTTCAAAAGTGCTTTGAAGTGACCACAGACACTCGATTGACTCTAAAAGAGTTTTGGAAGATCACTTTAATATCCTCAATTGTGTAAACCTTATAGGTAAGGCTTGGGAGGGAGTGACTAAGAGAACCTTGAACTCTGCTTGGAAGAAACTGTGGCCAAATGTGTAGACAAAAGGGATTTTGAAGGGTTTGAGGCTAACCCTGAGAGGAGTAGTATACCATTGAGGAATCAATTGTGGAATTGGGAAGTCCTTGGGTTGGAGTTAGTGGGGAGGATGTGAAGAGTTGGTGGAGGAGGACAATGAAGAACTAACCACTGATGAGCTGATAGATCAACTTCAAGAGCAAGAGGCCAACCTGGGAAACTGGTTCAAAGGAGGGAGAGAGAAATTGAAGGAATGCCTACTTCAAAGATTAAGGAAATGTGTGGCAAAATGGCTTGAAGTGCAAACCTTTTTTGATGAAAATCACCCTCACACAGCTATTGCAAGCCGTGCTGGTGACTGTTACAATGACAGTGTTGTGAACCACTTTAGACAAATCATAAAGGAACGAGAGGTACAGGCCACTATGGACAGATATGTTGTGCGAAAGAAGTCCAGTGACTCTGAAGCTGGTCCTAGTGGCATTAAAAGAAGAAGGGAAGTAACCCCAAAAAGGACTTGCTACCTCAAGTCCTAATGGAAGGGGATTCCCCTTCTAAACACTAACACTCTCTCTCCCCTCCTCCCATCCCATCAATCATCACCAGATCTTCAATAAAAGTAAGTGTCATGTAATTGTGCATGCCTTTTTCAGTTTGTGTGTACTAAAATTAACATTTTTTTGTGGTAAAAAAATTTTTTTTTCATACTTTTGGGTGTCTTGCACGGATTAATTTTATTTCCATTATTTCTTATGGGGAAAATTAATTCGCATAGCGAACATTTCGCATAACGACCAGCCCTCTTGCACGGATTAAGTTCACTATGCGGGGGTCCACTGTATATATTTATATATACATATATAAATATATATATAGTGTATAGTTCCTTTATATAAAGGGAAAGGGGACAAAAGAGATTGTAAAAATTATAGAGGAATAAGTTTACTGAGTATACCAGGAAAAGTATACGGTAGAGTTATAATTGAAAGAATTAGAGCTCTAGTAAGACAGAATGTAGAATTGCGGATGAGCAAGGAGGTTTCAGAGTGGGTAGGGGATGTGTAGATCAAGTGTTTACATTGAAGCATATATGTGAACAGTATTTAGATAAAGGTAGGGAAGTTTTTATTGCATTTATGGATTTAGAAAAGGCATATGATAGAGTGGATAGAGGAGCAATGTGGCAGATGTTGCAAGTTTATGGAATAGGTGGTGAGTTACTAAATGCTGTAAAGAGCTTTTATGAGGATAGTGAGGCTCAGTTAGGGTGTGTAGAAGAGAGGGAGAATACTTCCCGGTAAAAGTAGGTCTAGACAGGGATTTGTAATGTCACCATGGTTGTTTAATATATTTATAATTTATAGATGGGGTTGTAAAAGAAGTAAATGCTAGGGTGTTCGGGAGAGGGGTGGGATTAAATTATGGGGAATCAAATTCAAAATGGAAATTGACACAGTTACTTTTGCTGATGATACTGTGCTTATGGAGATTCTAAAGAAAAATTGCAAAGGTTAGTGGATGAGTTTGAGAATGTGTGTAAAGGTAGAAAGTTGAAAGTGAACATAGAAAAGAGATAAGGTGATGAGGGTATCAAATGATTTAGATAAAGAAAAATTGGATATCAATTTGGGGAGGAGGAGTATGGAAGAAGTGAATGTTTTCAGATACTTGGGAGTTGACGTGTCGGCGGATGGATTATGAAGGATGAGGTTAATCATAGAATTGATGAGGGAAAAAGGTGAGTGGTGCGTTGAGTACATGTGAGTCAAAAAACGTTATCTATGGAGGCAAAGAAGGGAAATGTATGAAAGTATAGTAGTACCAACACTCTTAATATGGATGTGGAAGCTTGGTGGTAAATGCAGCAGCGAGGAGACGGTTGGAGGCAGTGGAGATGTCCTGTCTAAGGGCAATGTGTGGTGTAAATATTATGCAGAAAATTCAGAGTGTGGAAATTAGGAAAGGAGTGGAGTTAATAAAAGCATTAGTCAGAGGGCAGAAGAGGAGTTGTTGAGGTGGTTTGGTCATTTAAGAGAATGGATCAAAGTAGAATGACATGGAAAGCATATAAATCTATAGGGGAAGGAAAGGGGGGTAGGGGCGTCCTCGAAAGGGGTTTGGAAAGGGGGGGTAAAGGAGGTTTTGGGGCGGGGGGCTTGGATTTCCCCAAAACCCCGTGCTGAGGGGTTTTTGATAGGATGAATGGAGACGAATGATATTTGGGGGCCCTGACGATCTGTTGGAGGTGAGCGGGTAAATTTATGAAGGTTTCGGGAAAACCGGGTTTATTTTTTTAGTCGGACTTGGTCCTGGAAATGGGAATAAGTCCCTTTACTTTAAGGGGGGGTTTGGGATATTGCAGTTTGGAGGAATTTGTGTATCTTTATACAAATATGCTTCTAAACTGTTATTCTGGCCCTTTAAAAAAGCAGTGTAATGTGTAGTGTGGTGAAAGTGTTGAATGTATGAAAGATTTTCTTTTTGGGGATTTTCTTTCTTTTTTGGGTCCCCCGGTTGGGAGAGGGCCACTTGTTGAAAAAAAAAAAAAAAAAAATTTAAACTACATACTACTACATCCTGCCTTGGTGGGAAGGGCCGGGTTTGTTGAAAGAAAAAGAATACATAAATAGTATGAAACACCGTCCCCTACAAATGGTTCCCAAGCTTAAATTAAAAATTATGATGAAAAGCTGAAAACTTAAAACCCTCAGGTCAATGGGAAAAAGGGAAAGGGAAATTATACACATGTAGGATCATAAAAGGACACAAAGAAACCAGAGGTTCACGAAATTGGAAGCAAATTTATATAGTCAAAGGGATATTGGAAACTTTCTTAAAAACAGGGGTAAAAATGGAATGTTTACAAGAGCGAAGTAAGGGTTAAACTACGGGAATTTTAAAGAATTATGTGATAAAAAATTAATAAGATGGGAGACCTGGAACATAGCTCTTTTCCATAGTACTATAGGAAATTTAAATGATTAGTAATTACTATTTGTAGCTACAATAAGAGATCAAAATTTTTAAAAACAAAAAGGGGAATTTCCTTAAAAAACATTTAACGTATTACCCCAAAATACTTTCAGGAAAGATTTAACAATGTCAGGATCTATCTCTCCCTTTAAAACATAAAATATTTTTTTAAATCTTATCACAGTGCTCAACACCAATTAAATTTTTTCCGAATGGGCACATCATGTCCTTTCAAGTTCTTTGTTTTAACTCCTTCAGCAGACAGATCCACGGAGAGCAGATGGCACACCCTATAGAGCAATAAGTAAAAATTTAATTTTTTTTTATTTTTATTAATTCAGAGGGGAAGCCCTAAACCTTGAGAATGGGAGGATTTGGGGGCAATGGGGCGCTAGACCTTTTGGTGTCCCGGGCCGAGTTATACCAAAACCCTTTCCCCCTTTTACCGCCTTTATTCATTCTATTAGACATCACTATGTCCAATCTATTTGTTTTCAGAAATACTTATTTTTCCTTGATAATATTCAACATGAACAACTGAATTTTCATAAAGGTATACAAAAAATAATGGGTTTCTATACGAGCAAATTATTAACCATATAACTGTTAATGTGTGTATAAATTACAATTTATAATTACACTCATTTATGTGTTTTTAAATTTATATAACTGTTTATAATATTTTTGTGGCTAAAAGTCAATATGCTGCATATTGGTTACACATAGTGCTGTTTTATATTCATTCTAATAGTATATATATCACTAATAATAAAATGTGATCAGAATATGAAAGAACAGATTTTAACTTACAAATTTTCATATTTTTATCTTTTCATTTATAAAACATGCATGGAAATGTTTCCACTTAATATCATAACTTTGCCCTAAACCATATTAATGCATTATAACATTCATGCAAAATAACCTCGATGTGGCCTGGATTGATATCACTGACAAATGAGAAACAATGACCAGTTTGAGGCATTTTCTGACACGCTTCATTTATTTTTTAGTTAAATACATAAATTATCACAGTTTTAATTGAAACTTCACACTGCTACCTATCTACCTACCAACCGAAAAGGAAAATTCTGCTGAGCAAAAATCTGAACTGTCGCCCAATATGTTCAAGAAAACCACTCGTTTTTTTTTTTTTTTTTTTTTTTTTTAGACATTCATAAAAAACCCACCTTTGTTCAAATCATGTTCCAACTCCTTCCGTGCTAGAAATGCTGAGTGATGCACAAAGCTATTTTTGTGATGCTGAATACGAGGGTTTAGTTTAGGCAAGTTGTAAACCCATTCTTGTTGTTGAATTTGCTTCTCTGATTAGGATAGTTCTGTTTTAATAATTTTAGTTATGACAGTGCCAATCAGTGAAGCTAAAACCTTGGGAAGGTTTAAAAATATGTTACACAAATATATGAGTAATAAGGTTGGATTCTTTGAGTAAGACCTACCTAACATTGGTTACCAGGGTTACTGAAGTTAATTCCTTGGGTAGTTTTGAAAGTATTTATATATTGCTGTATGGTGCATTGCGACTTAGATGAAACACCGTAAGATTTTTTTACATTTTTCCACTGCTTTTATCACATCCCTTTGACTATGCCCCCTGAGGCGGTGGCACCCCCAGTACAGTATTTTGAGTATCTCTCATGTCTGACAACTGAATGTTTGCAGAATTATGGCACCAAAAGGATTTTCAAGAAAATCTGCAAGCAATATTTACCCTGGGTAAATGTTTGGAAAGCAAGAAATGTTTACAAATAATATAATTTGCATAAAAAAGAAGGATTTTAATTCTTTAATTGGACTGAAGATCTGCTAACCTTTTATCATAAGCTTTAAATAGAGCAAAACATATTATAATTAAATAAAACAGTAGCTCATAATTTTTTGCTACTTTAAAATATGAACATACATATTAGGGATGCATAAAATATAGTCAAAGAAGGAACCAGATTGTAATTCTAAAATATTTGGCTTAAATATACTTAAGACTTTGATATATGTTGAACTCTGTAGTAGATGATTAGCTATATGACAAGACTGTAAAAGATATACAAGACTAGGTGAGGTTCTTGCAGTTTGGAGGACCATCCAAACTGTAATGTCTTTGTGCTTCTGGCAAGACAGCAAATGAATGAGTGATGGCGAATGTTTCTTTTTTGTTGGGGGGGGAGTAACCCTACCTCAGTAAGGAATGGCCAGTGTGTTCAAAAAAAAAAAATAGTTTAATGATGTACATAACTGCCCAGCTGGGTCTGACAGGCCCATTCATGAGTTGTGGGTGCACAATAAAGTAGCTGGTGTGGTGGCTTAAAGTAAAAATCCTGAGCCCCTCTATTAGCATAAACAACTTAGTGACAATGACAACAACTTGGTGACAATGGAAACAACATGGTAAATATGGAAATACAACTAATAGTTTGTTTAAAAAGGAAGCACATCTTAATGACAATGGAGATAGTTAACTATGTTACTTATACGTACTTACTTCATCATCATCATCTAGACGGACTCGCTTTAGGGCAACAATTTCCTGGGTCTCTCGGTTCTTGGCCTTAAACACAGTACCATAGGTACCTGAAATATGAATAAATATTACAGTTTAACCCTTTGACTGTTTTGGTCGTATATATATGTCTTATGAGCCACCGTGTTTGACGTATATACATGTATACTCTAGCAGCTTCAAATCAAGCAGGAGAAAGCTGGTAAGCCCACACGTGAGAGAATGTATCTGTGTGGTCAGTGTGCACCATATAAAAAAAATCCTGGAACACGCAGTGCATAATGAGAAAAAAAACTCCGACTTTTTTTTTTATTAAAATGCCGACTTTGTGGTCTATTTTCGTATAGTATTTATGGTTGTATTCTCGTTTTCTTGGTCTCATTTGATAGAATGGAAAACATATTATAGAAATAGAGGTGATTTTGATTGGTTTTACTATAAAAAAGAACCTGGAAATGGAGCTCCAAGTAGAGGAATGTTTGATTTTTGCCAATGTTCAAAAGTAAACAAATGATGTCATTGTCCAATAAATGTCCAACTAGCTATTCTAATATGCAGTCATGAATGGGTTGACATTATTTGTACAATTATTGCAGTATTGCAGTAGTCTGCATAACAGTAAATCTTCTATTTTTTGTTTGAATAAAAATTCAAAATAGAAAGCAAGAGTAATATCAGAGGGGCCTGGAGACGTGACAGATGAACAAAGAAAATGTTATTTTAGAGCCAGGAATGTCTGCACTGTTCATTCTGAACCTTATTTTGAAACTCATATTTTTTAATTTTCGTGAAATTGACCAAATTGCAAATTTCTGACTACGTTACTGGGTAGTTGAAATCGGTAAATGAGCAGTTTCTTGCACTCAATCGATAGAAAAAACAAAGTTCATAAGAAATACCTATGAGCTTGGTTGACTGGAACAATGGAATTAGCAGAAAATAGGGCTCAAAGTGGACAAAATCTCTGATTTGTAAATATCGCCGAGGTCGCTAACTTCGCGAGAGCGTAATTCCGTCAGTTTTCCATCAAATTTCGTTCTTTTGGTGTCAATACAATCGGGAAAAGATTCTCTATCATTTCATAAGAATTTTTTTTTTTTTTTTTTTTAAATTCTGCAACACCAGGAGACACCTCAGGATTGGGGGTTGCGACAGTCAAGGGGTTAAACTAAGTAGCCATTATGTTTTATTACATTTTCTCTTATGCTCCAGATGACCCTCTTGAAAAATGAGGGGAAGTAAGAAGTGGGATATGAAAAATGAGCAGGGAGGGGGAGAAACGTGAAGTTAGGAAAGGATAAAGGAGGAAATGGAAAGGGATGAAGGAAGGAGGGAAGGGGAAGAGGAGAGAGAGAGAAAAAAAAGAGTAGATAGATAGACAGATTAATTATACTATATACATGTATACATATGTCATGCCGAACAGGTAAGAGTGGTCAATTACCAAGAACTCATTTAGAATTAAGTCCTTTCTAAAGTTTTCTCTTATATGTTTAAAGATATATTTTTTGCATTTAGATTAACGTAAAAATAAATAATTTTGTACGTTAATCTAAAACCTTATATATTTTTTTATTATTATCACACTGGCCGATTCCCACCAAGGCAGGGTGGCCCGAAAAAGAAAAACTTTCACCATCATTCACTCCATCACTGTCTTGCCAGAAGGGTGCTTTACACTACAGTTTTTAAAATGCAACATTAACACCCCTCCTTCAGAGTGCAGGCACTGTACTTCCCATCTCCAGGACTCAAGTCTGGCCTGCAGGTTTCCCTGAACCCCTTCATAAATGTTACTTTGCTCACACTCCAACAGCACGTCAAGTATTAAAAACCATTCGTCTCCATTCACTTCTATCAAACACGCTCACGCACGCCTGCTGGAAGTCCAAGCCCCTCGCACACAAAACCTCCTTTACCCCCTCCCTCCAACCTTTCCTAGGCCGACCCCTACCCCGCCTTCCTTCCACTACAGACTCATACACTCTTGAAGTCATTCTGTTTCGCTCCATTCTCTCTACATGTCCGAACCACCTCAACAACCCTTCCTCAGCCCTCTGGACAACAGTTTTGGTAATCCCGCACCTCCTCCTAACTTCCAAACTACGAATTCTCTGCATTATATTCACACCACACATTGCCCTCAGACATGACTCCACTGCCTCCAGCCTTCTCCTTGCTGCAACATTCATCACCCACGCTTCACACCCATATAAGAGTGTTGGTAAAACTATACTCTCATACATTCCCCTCTTTGCCTCCAAGGACAAAGTTCTTTGTCTCCACAGACTCCTAAGTGCACTACTCACCCTTTTCCCCTCATCAATTCTATGATTCACCTCATCCTTCATAGACCCATCCGCTGACACGTCCACTCCCAAATATCTGAATACATTCACCTCCTCCATACTCTCTCCCTCCAATCTGATATCCAATCTTTCATCACCTAATCTTTTTGTTATCCTCATAACCTTACTCTTTCCTGTATTCACTTTTAATTTTCTCCTTTTGCACACCCTATCAAATTCATCCACCAATCTCTGCAACTTCTCTTCAGAATCTCCCAAGAGCACAGTGTCATCAGCAAAGAGCAACTGTGACAACTCCCACTTTATGTGTGATTCTTTATCTTTTAACTCCACGCATTTACTTCTCTTACAACCCCATCTATAAATATATTAAACAACCACGGTGACATCACACATCCTTATCTAAGGCCTACTTTTACTGGGAAATAATTTCCCTCTTTCCTACATACTCTAACTTGAGCCTCACTATCCTCGTAAAAACTCTTCACTGCTTTCAGTAACCTACCTCCTACACCATACACCTGCAACATCTGCCACATTGCCCCCCTATCCACCCTGTCATACACCTTTTCCAAATCCATAAATGCCACAAAGACCTCTTTAGCCTTATCTAAATACTGTTCACTTATATGTTTCACTGTAAACACCTGGTCCACACACCCCCTACCTTTCCTAAAGCCTCCTTGTTCATCTGGTATCCTATTCTCCGTCTTACTTTTAATTCTTTCAATAATAACTCTACCATACACTTTACCAGGTATACTCAACAGACTTATCCCCCTATAATTTTTGCACTCTCTTTTGTCCCCTTTGCCTTTATACAAAGGAACTATGCATGCTCTCTGCCAATCCCTAGGTACCTTACCCTCTTCCATACATTTATTAAATAATTGCACCAACCACTCCAAAACTATATCCCCACCTGCTTTTAACATTTCTATCTTTATCCCATCAACCCCAGCTGCCTTATCCCCTTTCATTTTACCTACTGCCTCATGAACTTCCCCCACACTCACAACTGGCTCTTCCTCACTCCTACAAGATGTTATTCCTCCTTGCCCTATACACGAAATCACAGCTTCCCTATCTTCATCAACATTTAACAATTCCTCAAAATATTCCCTCCATCTTCCCAATACCTCTAACTCTCCATTTAATAACTCTCCTCTCCTATTTTTAACTGACAAATCCATTTGTTCTCTAGGCTTCCTAAACTTGTTAATCTCACTCCAAAACTTTTTCTTATTTTCAACAAAATTTGTTGATAACATCTCACCCACTCTCTCATTTGCTCTCTTTTTACATTGCTTCACCACTTTCTTAACCTCTCTCTTTTTCTCCATATACTCTTTCCTCCTTGCATCACTTCTACTTTGTAAAAACTTCTCATATGCTAACTTTTTCTCCCTTACTACTCTCTTTACATCATCATTCCACCAATCGCTCCTCTTCCCTCCCTCACCCACTTTCCTGTAACCACAAACTTCTGCTGAACACTCTAACACTACATTTTTAAACCTACCCCATACCTCTTCGACCCCATTGCCTATGCTCTCATTAGCCCATCTATCCTCCAATAGCTGTTTATATCTTTCCCTAACTGCCTCCTCTTTTAGTTTATAAACCTTCACCTCTCTCTTCCCTGATGCTTCTATTCTCCTTGTATCCCATCTACCTTTTACTCTCAGTGTAGCTACAACTAGAAAGTGATCTGATATATCTGTGGCCCCTCTATAAACATGTACATCCTGAAGTCTACTCAACAGTCTTTTATCTACCAATACATAATCCAACAAACTACTGTCATTTCGCCCTACATCATATCTTGTATACTTATTTATCCTCTTTTTCTTAAAATATGTATTACCTATAACTAAACCCCTTTCTATACAAAGTTCAATCAAAGGGCTCCCATTATCATTTACACCTGGCACCCCAAACTTACCTACCACACCCTCTCTAAAAGTTTTCTCCTACTTTAGCATTCAGGTCCCCTACCACAATTACTCTCTCACTTGGTTCAAAGGCTCCTATACATTCACTTAATATCTCCCAAAATCTCTCTCTCTCCTCTGCATTCCTCTCTTCTCCAGGTGCATACACGCTTATTATGACCCACTTCTCGCATCCAACCTTTACTTTAATCCACATAATTCTTGAATTTACACATTCATATTCTCTTTTCTCCTTCCATAACTGATCATTTAACATTACTGCTACCCCTTCCTTTGCTCTAACTCTCTCAGATACTCCAGATTTAATCCCAATTAAAAATATTGTAGATAAGTTTACAATTTAATAATAAACAAACACAATGTAATATATTTTTTCGTTAGGTTCAGAATCATTTTTGCAAGGACCATAACATTGTATCAATCGCATCTGCTAGAAAAATGACAGGATGGATAATGAGAACCTTCAAAACTAGGGAGGCCAAGCCCATGATGACACACTTCAGGTCACTTGTTCTATCTAGGCTGGAATATTGCTGCACACTAACAGCACCTTTCAAGGCAGGTGAAATTGCCGACCTAGAAAATGTACAGAGAACCTTCACAGCGTGCATAACGGAGATAAAACACCTCAATTACTGGGAGCGCTTGAGGTTCCTAAACCTGTATTCCCTGGAACGCAGGAGGGAGAGATACATGATTATATACACCTGGAAAATCCTAGAGGGACTAGTACCGAACTTGCACACGAAAATCACTCACTATGAAAGCAAAAGACTTGGCAGACGATGCACCATCCCCCCAATGAAAAGCAGGGGTGTCACTAGCACTTTAAGAGACCATACAATAAGTGTCAGGGGCCCGAGACTGTTCAACTGCCTCCCAGCACACATAAGGGGGATTACCAACAGACCCCTGGCAGTCTTCAAGCTGGCACTGGACAAGCACCTAAAGTCAGTTCCTGATCAGCCGGGCTGTGGCTCGTACGTTGGTTTGCGTGCAGCCAGCAGCAACAGCCTGGTTGATCAGGCTCTGATCCACCAGGAGGCCTGGTCACAGACCGGGCCGCGGGGGCGTTGACCCCCAGAACTCTCTCCAGGTAAACTCCAGGTAAATACACAAATTTTTGCTTGCCTTATTCGGCAAGAAAAGTGTTGCTATTTATGCCAAAATCGCAAGTTTTACCTATTTGGCACATTATATGTATGTATATATATACATTACACGTACATACAATAAGATCACAGTAGACAAGTGGTATCACAATATGTAGAACAACCACTGTGAAAAGAATAGTGAACTTCCTAGCGCTTATGTGATTTCTCACATAATCAAGGAGCTGAAAATGTTTATCAGTTTATTTATTTTGATCAATATTGGTGTGTATATTTTTTCTAACTCATGAGATCACCTTCATCATCCTTCAAAGTATTTGTTCCATTGACTTTATGTTATTGTGTCATGTGGAGAGCAGAAGTGATCAGCATAGTTGAACCCACAGGGGTCGTTGATTGACTAGGAAAATGGAAGACAATTAGGATCAATCAAAGGAAGACGAGGACAGATCTAGTTCCTTGGATCAGGAGCCTCTCGTTGCTATCAAAGCACCTCCTTGAAGTGGGACATAAAAATGTCTTTTTATACCTATTGCCAGCTCACCTTAGTGTTAATAAATTATTGTAGGTCGCCTTTTAAGGAAGAACTCCCAATAGAAAGAGGTCATACTGCTGTATTATATTGCCGTTAACAACTGTTCTGGATAATAATGACATATCTTGGTGTACGTGAACGAGCGCTCAGCCCAACAGATCTGCTGTAACAAGAGCTTGACCTAACTTATAACAATAATCATAGGCTCCCACGGGAATATGACTCCTAGGAGCTCTGGGGTATATGCGGCCAGTACTAGCATTGAGTATAATACCTTCGCCAATCTTCTCCAACTTCTCGTATTTCTGCATGTTGTTGTTGTTGGTTATAGAGGTTGTGACAGATTGAGTCGTAAAGATTACTGATGAACCTTTGGAGTCGGCCGAACGAAGCCTCAATGTTCAGGCCAGGGAGTCCACCTGTCCTGTGGCTCAGTTGGTGGACCATTCGTCTTACACACTGAGTGTCCGTGGCTAACATAATATAAGATAAAATAAGATTTTGTTCAGATTTTTAACCCCGGAGGTTAGTCACCCAGGATAACCTAAGAAAGACAGAGCATCATCGAGGACTGTCGCTCTTATTTCCACTGGGGTCCTCAATCTTGTCCCCCAGGATGGGACCCACACCAGTTGACTAACACCTAGGTACCTACTTGCTTGCTAGGGGAACGGAACAGCAGTTGTAAGGAAATACTCCCAATGTTTCCGCCCATGCCGGGGATCGAACCACGGACACGTGTGTGAAGCGAATGTGTTGCCTACCAGGCCACGGGGCACCGTCATGAGTGGAAACGTGGGCATATTTCTTTACAACTGTTGTCCCTATTTACCTAAGAGTAGGTACGTAGGTACCTGGGTGTTATTCGACTGGTGTGGGTCCAGTGGCGTGCTGAGGAGGGGGGCGAAAGGGTGGTGCCCCCGGGCATCCAAATGGAGGGGCATCCAATTAAAGAGGGAAATAAGATAATGATTTTGAAATTTCAGAAGTGATAAATGAGTAAAAGGACACAAGTGCAACTAATGTGACATTTCATTGTGGCAACGTTTCGCTCTCCAGGAGCTTTATCAAGCTTGATAAAGCTCCTGGAGAGCGAAACGTTGCCACAATAAAATGTCACATTAGTTGCACTTGTGTCCTTTTACTTTACATATTGTCGGTAATTCTACCAACTTTATTACAGTGATAAATGAATATTTGGAGGCTCACGGCACTACAGAGGCAGTGACTAGCCCTTTATTCCTTTAACATGATGTAACCTTTGTCCAGAGAAAATAGTGCCCCCCAATTGAAGATGAACATGCAAGGGAGAAATTAAAAAAAGGAATGTTCAGACTTTGCAAATTATTATGATAATGATGTGGCAGCTATTCAGTTATATGACGAAATTGTTGATTTTGTGATGCTCCTTCGAGCTGGAGGGAATAGAATTCCCCTGATCCTAAAGATGCTCTGTAGTCTTTACTGCAGTTTGGGAGGGATGTCTTTCCGACGCTGTGTGTTTCATACCTGGAGTTTACCTGAAGAGGGTTTCGGGGGTCAACGCCCCCGCGGCCCGGTCTGAGACCAGGTCTCATGGTGGATCAGGATCTGATCAACCAGGCTGCTACTGCTGGCCGCACGCAAGCTGACGTTAGAACCACAATCCGGTTGGTCAGGTACTGACTTTAGGTGCCTGTCCAGTACCGTCTTGAAGACAGCCAGGGGTCTATTGGTAATCCCCCTTATGTATGCTGGGAGGCAATTGAACAGTCTTGGGCCCCGGACACTTATTGTGTTGTCTCTCAGTGTACACGTGGGGCCCCTGCTTTTCATCGGGGGAATGTTGCATCTCCTGCCGAGTCTTTTGCTTTCATATGGAGTGAATTTCGTGTGCAGGCATAACACCAGACACAAACATCTCTACGACATTCCCCGTGTCCGACTAAACCTTTACAAAAATTCAATGTATGTCAAAGGCCCTAAAATCTGGAATACCCTACCTGAGAACTCTAGAACTGCAGACACATTCATCACCTTCAAAACTACCATTAGAAAACATCTTATCTCCCTGATACACCCCGTCAACTAACTACACGAATACCACCTGGTGGTTCACACTTACACTCGCTCACTCATTTGACCATAAACAGAAATATTAATCTCAGTCTTAAAATAATGAATCCTGTGATACTCCAATACTGAAACTATATACTGTGCCAAAACAAAAGCATTCACATTGCTAAACTCATAAACTAGTATTTAGTCACTTAGCCATAAGACCAACTTACCTCATAATTTGTAATATTTTACAATTAAGAATAAAACTAAGTATGCCCGAAATGCCTAGCCATGCTAAGCGTTCTAGTGGTACACTCTGTAATCACAATTTTACTACATGTAAACCAAACAATAACCAAATTTCTGTAAACTCAGCATTGTAATCCTTATAGAGAATAAACTTTGAATTTGAATTTGAATTGAATTTGAAATGTATATTATCATATATCTCTCTCCCCTGCGTTCGAGGGAATACGGGTTATCCTAGGTTCTCTACACATATGCTGCTATGTATGATAATTCTATGTAACTGTATTTGTGTATACCTGAATAAACTTACTTACTTACTTAATCAAGGACTTTCAACAGTTCCCGGTAGTTTAGGTGCCTTATCGCACTTATGTGTGCCGTGAAAGTTCTTTGCACAATCTCCAGGTCTGCAATGTCGCCAGCCTTGAAGGGGGCCGTTAGTGTACAGCAGTATTCCAGCCTAGAGAGCACAAGCGATTTGAAGAGAATCATCATGGGCTTGGCGTCCCTAGTTTTGAAGGTTCCCATTATCCGTCCTATCATTTTCCTAGCGGATGAGGTAGATTCATTGTTGTGGTCTTTGAAGGTGAGATACTCAGATATTATCACTCCCAGGTCCTTCACATTACTTTCCAGCTCTATTGTATGGTTAGAATTTGTGGTATACCGTGACACATTTTTAATTTCTTCAAGTTTTCCATATCTGAATAGTTGAAATTTCTCCTCTTTGAACTTCATATTGTTTTGAGTGGCCCATTCGAAGATTTGGTTGATGTCCGCTTGGACGCTTGGAGTCTCGCAGTGTCCTCGATGGAGGTCACTGCCGTGGTGATCCGGGTGTCATCAGCAAAGGAAGACACGGAGCTATGGCTTACATCTCTGCCTATGTCAGAAATGAGGATGAGGAATAGAATGGGAGCGAGTACTGTGCCTTGTGGAACAGAGCTTTTTACCATGGCTGCTTGGGACTTTACTCTATTTATTATTACTCTTTGTATTCTATTTGTCAGGAAGTTGTAGATCCTTCTACCAAATTTTCCCATTATTCCTTTATCCAGCATTTTGTGTGCTATTACACCTTGGTCACACTTGTCGAAACCTTTTGCAAAGTCTGTGTATACTATATCTGTATTTTGTTTATCCTCTACAGCATCCAGGACCTTGTCACAGTGGTCCAGTAGCTGGGACAGGCAGGAGCGACCCGCTCTAAACCCGTGTTGCCCTGGGTTGTGTAATTGATGGGTATCCAGGTGGTTGGCGATCTTGCTTCTTAGAACCCTCTCAAAGATTTGTATGAGTTTACCTGGAGAGAGTTCCGAAGATCAACGCCCCCGCTATCGGTCTGTAGTTCTTTGCAATTGCTTTACTGCCACCTTTGTGGAGTGGGGCTATGTCTGTTGTTTTTAGTGTGTGTGTGGGATTTGTGGAGTGGGGCTATGTCTGTTGTTTTTAGTGTGTGTGGGATGACCCCTGTGTCCATGCTCCTGCTCCCTCTCCATAAAATGCTGCAGGCACGCGATAGGGGCTTCTTGCAATTCTTGATGAACACGGAGTTCCACGAGTCTGGGCCTGGGGCAGAGTGCATGGGCATGTCATTAATTGCCTCTTCAAAGTCTTGTTGAGTTAGAATAATATCCGAGATTTTTAGGATGACCAAATTTTGGGTTTCGTTCATAAAGAATTCATTTGGTTTGTCGACCCTTAGAGTGAGCAGTGGCTCGCTTACAATCACTGCTTACAATCACATTTTCTGTCGCAGGTTGTGAAGGTCACACACTGAGGTCCGGAGTTCGAATCTCCTCCGGTACGGCTGGAAAACATTAGGGACATATTTCCATAAGACACCTGCTGTCCCTGTCCCTGTTCACCCATCAGTTTAAAATGGGTACCTGGGTGTTAGTCGACTAGTGTGGGTCGCATCCTGGGACAGAACTGACCTAATTTGCCCGAAATGCTCAGCATAACAAGGGGCTTTCCACATAGTAATAATAATGTATCATTGATGTCAGCTAGGCCTCTATAGCATGTACATGTACTTGTAGGAAATAAAGGTATTATTGTTATTATTATCATCTGAGGTCTTGAATGTCACAGGAGCGACTGACCAATCTGGCTTTAATAAGCATTGAAAAAGAATTTCTCACAGCTGATGTAAAAAGTGAAGTAGATAAAGTGTTTTCTGACAGGAGATATCATTTTGGGAAAAGAACTTAATAAATTTGGTTGATTTATATTTAAATCGAATAAAGTGTTTATTTCATGTTTCATGTGTTTACATATTCAAAATATCACCCTTTCTCATAATATTTCTCAGTACTAGGCCTCATACTTGAGTCTTTGGGGCATACTATCAAGGAGTTGGCCCCGGGCATCACCAAACCTCTGCACGCCACTGTGTGGGTCGCATCCTGGGGGACAAGATTGAAGGACCCCAATGGAAATAAGAGTCTTCGATGACGCACTGACTCTCTTGGGTTATCCTGGGTGGCTAACCCTCCAGGTTAAAAATTTGAACAAATTTTATTTTATATCTTATCAAAACTAGAAATGTCATGAGTGACGGTGCTTTCATCTGCTGCACCTCATCTAACTCCATTATGTGGACCCACTTTTACCTAACTATGCTTCTGTCATCAAGGCTGCATTGCTGAGCACCTGCTCCTGGGCTAGAGGACTGATTTCCTCGTCTTCAATCTCTTCAGTCTTCTGATTTTGTTGCTGGTTGGCGAAGCGTCTCCCTTCAATGAAGGTTCCTTGATGCTGGTGAGGGGCTCTTGATCTAAGGAATTGGATCTGTACTCTTATTCCCTGAATTAAGCCTAAATGCCTTCCATCTTACCTCCACAGACACTGTATAGTCTGTGGTGCGGCGTCTTCATGATGAGGCGTCTTCATGATGGGGCGTCTTCATGATGGGGCGTCTTCATGGTGGGGCATCTTCATGATGGGGCGTCTTCATGGTGGGGCATCGTCTTCATGGTGGAGCGTCTTCACGATGGGGCATCTTCATGGTGGGGCGTCGTCTTCGTGGGGCGTCATCATGGTGGGGCGTCTTCATGGTGGGGCATCGTCTTCGTGGGGCGTCGTCATCATGGTGGGGCGTCTTCATGGTGGGGCGTCGTCTTCGTGGGGCGTCGTCATCATGGTGGGGCGTCTTCATGGTGGGGCGTCTTCATGGTGGGGATGTGCTATTGTTGCACATATGTCTAATTCTTCAACTTATTGTCATTATATCCATTGCTGCTATGAAAGATGAATGAAATGTTTTTTGAAGAGACTGCAGTCTAACAGTGACTATTTTGGTGGTAATGAGATACTTTTTTTTAAGATTATAACCCCATACTATATTGTCTTCTATAGCTATATGAAGAAATTTGTAATATTTAAATTGGCTGTAATATATTTTTCGCTATTTAGCCATGCGTGGTGAGGTCCAGTAAACACCCATTGTACAGTCTCTAATTCTGTATTTTTTGCACTTTCACTCACTGGCTGAGCATCAGACGCACAGTCAACTAACAGCTAAGGCAACACAACTAATTCTCTTTCCGGAAGAAACCTTGTTTGTTTTCCAATTTCGCAAATATTTGGGCAACATATATTTCTAGGGATTCCGGCAGGCTGGGCTCAAAAAAAGGCGTATCTCCTGGACTACCGGGAGGCTGGGCTAAAGAAAGCGTACCTCCCGGACTACCGAGAGGCTGGGCTCAACTCCTGGACTACCGAGAGGCTGGGCTCAAAAAAAGGCGTACCTCCTGGACTACCAAGAGGCTGGGCTCAAAAAAAGCGTTCCTCCTGGACTACCGGGAGGCTTGACTCAAAAAAAGCATACCTCCTGGGCTACCGAGAGGCTGGGCTCAAAAAAAGCGTACCTCCTGGACTACCGGGAGGCTGGACTCAAAAAAAGCGTACCTCCTGGACTACCGAGAGGCTGGGCTCAAGAAAGCATACCTCCTGGGCTACCGAGAGGCTGGACTCAAAAAAAGCATACCTCCTGGCTACCGAGAGGCTGGGCTAAAAAAAAAAAGCATACCTTCTAGACGACCGGGAGGCTGGACTCAAAAAAAAGCGTACCTCCTGGACTACCGAGAGGCTGGGCTCAAAAAAGCGTACCTCCTGGGCTACCGAGAGGCTGGACTAAAAAAAAGCGTAACTCCTGGGCTACCGAGAGGCCGGGCTCAAGAAAGCGTACCTCCTGGGCTACCGAGAGGCTGGGCTAAAAAAAAAAAGTATACCTTCTAGACTACCGGGAGGCTGACTAAAAAAAAACAAGTGTACCTCCTGGAATACCGAGAGGCTGGACTCAAAAAAATAAAGTGTACCTTCTAGACTACCGAGAGGATGGGCTCAAAAAAAGCGTCCTTCCTAGACTACCGAGAGACTGGACTCAAAAAAAGCGTCCTTCCTGGACTACCGAGAGGCTGGGCTAAAAAAAAAAAGCGTCCTTCCTGGACTTCTGAGAGGCTGGGCTCAAAACAAAGCGTTATTCCTGGACTACCGAGAGGCTGGGCTCAAAAAAAAGCGTACCTTCTAGACTACCGGGAGGCTGGGCTCAAAAAAAGCGTCCTTCCTGGACTACCGAGAGGCTGGGCTAAAAAAAAAGTGTCCTTCCTGGACTACCGAGAGACTGGGCTCAAAAAAGGCGTCCTTCCTGGACTACCGGGAAGCTGGGCTCAAAAAAAGTCCTTCTTGGACTACCGGGAAGCTTGGCTCAAAAAAGCGTCCTTCCTGGACTACCGGGATGCTGGACTCAAAAAAGCGTCCTTCCTGGACTACCTGGAGACTGGGCTCAAAAAAGCGTCCTTCCTGGACTACCGGGAAGCTGGGCTCAAAAAAAGCGTCCTTCCTGGACTACCGAGAGGCTGGGCTCAAAAAAAGCATCCTTGCTGGACTACCGGGAAGCTGGGCTCAAAAATAGCGTTCTTCCTGGACTACCGGAAAGCTGGGCTAAAAAAAAGCGTCCTTCCCGGACTACCAGGAAGCTGGGCTCAAAAAAAAGCGTCCTTCCTGGACTACCGGGAAGCCGGGCTCAAAAAAGCGTCCTTCCTGGACTATCGGGAAGCCGGGCTCAAAAAAGCGTCCTTCCTGGACTACCGGGAAGCCGGGCTCAAAAAAGCGTCCTTCCTGGACTACCGGGAAGCTGGGCTCAAAAAAGCGTCCTTCCTGGACTACCAGGAAGCTGGGCTCAAAAAAAGCGTCCTTCCTGGACTACCGGGAAGCCGGGCTCAAAAAAGCGTCCTTCCTGGACTACCGGGAAGCTGGGCTCAAAATAGGCGTTCTTCCTGGACTACCGGGAAGCTGGGCTCAAAAAAGGCGTCCTTCCTGGACTACCGGGAAGCTGGGCTCAAAAAAGGCATCTTTCCTGGACTACCGGGAAGCTGGGCTCAAAAAAGGCGTCCTTCCTGGACTACCGGGAAGCTGGGCTCAAAAAAGGCGTCCTTCCTGGACTACCGGGAAGCTGGGCTCAAAAAAGGCGTCCTTCCTGGAATACCGGGAAGCTGGGCTCAAAAAAAGGCGTCCTTCCTGGACTACCGGAAGCTGGGCTCAAAAAAGGCGTCCTTCCTGGACTACCGGGAAGCTGGGCTCAAAAAAGGCGTCCTTCCTGGACTACCGGAAGCTGGCTCAAAAAAGGCGTCCTTCCTGGACTACCGGGAAGCTGGGCTCAAAAAAGGCGTCCTTCCTGGACTACCGGGAAGCTGGGCTCAAAAAAGGCGTCCTTCCTGGACTACCGGGAAGCTGGGCTCAAAAAAGGCGTACAGTTTGGAGTCTCTTAATAACCCCAACACCAGGAGCAATAACACCGCTCCTTATTGGTTGAGGCAGACCTCTCATGTAAGCTACAAGCTGATTGGTTACTTCCAAGTTCTAGTATTTGAGCTGCGTTACAAGTGTTTTCCTTCAAAATTATGCTCAGGGACATCTTTCTCGCCAAATATTAGGTAATTAACACGTTTCTTCAAGGTATACGTGGCAGATGTGTAAGGAAAAAATGATTTGTCCCAGCTAAGCGAAATATTAAAGTAAAGTGGTGGTTCAAACTGAAAGAATTTACTGTGACTGACTTTGGTGGGTTACCTTAAGTTATATTGTTAACGTGATATAGACTAGACCAGACCAGACAGACAGACCAGACCAGACCAGACCAGACCAGACCAGACCAGACCAGACCAGACAAGACAGAACGAACCAGACAGGCCAGACTAGACTTCAGACCAGACCAGACAATCGAACCAGACAGACAGACCAGACAGACAGACCAGACAGACAGACCAGACAGACAGACCAGACAGATCGAACCAGACATAGACCAGACAGACGGACAAGACTAGACTTCAGACCAGACCAGATCAAATCCCAATGGAAATAAGTCACTTTGACTTTCCTAGGTTATCCTTGGTAATTTACACATATGCTGCTATGTATGATAATTTATGTAACTGTACCTGTACATGAATAGCTCGGTTAATTATCCCGTAGCTTGATTGCTACCACACTCAGATCACACACTGAGGTCAGTGGTTCGATCCCCTTTATGAGTGGTGAAATTATGACGTGTTTCCATAAGACACCTGCTGTCCATGTTCACCTAGTACTAAAATAGGTACCTGGGTGTTAGTCAACTGGTGTGGGTTGCATCCTGGGGAGAAAATTGACCTAGTTTGCAGGAAATGCTCTGCATAACGAGGTTTTTCTATATACATGTAGTAGTATGTCATTGATGTCAGCTAGACCTGTATATCTTGTACGTGTACTTGTAGAAATAAAGATATTAAATTATTATACTTACACCAGATCAAATATACTTAGCTAAACAGACCTGACCAGACAAGATCAAACCAAGCAAGAACAGACCAGACAAGAGAAGTTCAAACCAAGCAAAAACAGACCAGACAAGACAAGATCAAGCCAAGCAAGAACAGACCAGACAAGACAAGATCAAGCCAAGCAAGATCAGACCAGACAAGACAAGATCAAACCAAGCAAGATCAGACCAGACAAGACAAGATCAAGCCAAGCAAGAACAGACCTGACCAGACAAGATCAAACCAAGCAAGAACAGACCAGACAAGACAAGATCAAACCAAGCAAGAACAGACCAGACAAGACAAGATCAAACCAAGCAAGAACAGACCAGACAAGACAAGATCAAGCCAAACAAGAACAGACCAGACAAGACAAGATCAAGCCAAGCAAGATCAGACCAGACAAGACAAGATCAAGCCAAGCAAGATCAGACCAGACAAGACAAGATCAAACCAAGCAAGATCAGACCAGACAAGACAAGATCAAACCAAGCAAGATCAGACCAGATAAGATCAGACTAGACAAGACAAGATCAGACCAAATTACAGAGGCAGACACCAGACCAGACCAAACAAGATTAGACTAGACCACACCTTGCCACAAACAAGTAGACCACACAGACAGATACACACATACATGTACATAAACATACATCCATATACATACATCTGTATAAATACATCCATATCCATACATAAACATACATACATGTACTTATGTATTATTCTGAAGCTGTATGTGTTGATGATCAACACATACAGAGGGCTGGCCCCATGCTATAACTTTGTCTCAGTAGGGTCAGAGACCCTCGAATCATGGGGCAAGTGTGCTCTAAAATTCCTCAAAGAATTAGGTGAAAAACTCATCGCAGAAACCCAGGACACCAGAGCAACCAGCTTCCTCTTTCAGAAACTCAGTGTTGCAATCCAGAGAGATAATGCCTGCAGCATTCTGGGCATGCGGCCCACTGCTGGGGAGCTGGGTTATGTATTTGAGATGTGTAGGCCCTGAGATGTCATGCAAGGAAGATACTAGTGAAATTCCAGAAATAAATTATGTAGAACAGGACGATAATAAACTATGCACGATTAGGGTAACTAGTGACAAGGTCCTCAGACAAATAGAGAAATTAAAACCTAACAAATCCCCAGGCCCTGATGAACTGTTTGCAAGGGTTTTAAAGGAAGGTAAAGAGGAACTTAGCATACCTTTGGCTAATCTTTTCAATATATCACTACAAACTGGCATAGTGCCCGACAGGTGGAAAATGGCAAATGTAATACCTATTTACAAGGCAGGTGACAGGTCCTTAGCTTCGAATTATAGACCAATAAGCCTTACTTCCATAGTTGGTAAATTTATGGAATCAATAATTGCCAAGACAATTCATAGCCACCTTGAAAGGCATAAATTGATTAATGAATTGAGCACGGTTTTACAAAGGAGCTTTTCTGTCTTACGAATTTACTAACTTTCTTCACTAAGGTATTTGAGGAGGTAGATCATGGTATTAAAGATAAAGATGTTTATTTTGACAAATTACAGTACATGGTTGTACAGAGGACTATAATAGTTGGGTGTACATGCCAAAAGCCCCTTTTTATGCAGAGCATTTTGGGCAAACTTAAAGATTAACTTAAGATTAGTAAGGAAATAATACATAGTGATGAATGGTTTGGAAAACCGACAAGTTGAAGATTGAGACACTTATGCAACAGATTCCCATATGTTGCATAAGTGTCTCAATCTTCAAATAATACATAGTTAATATGGTCATTAGATGAGTTACAGTGAGTACAGTAGAATTGTATATTCTATCAGGTAATGCTACATGGTTTTGATAAGTCTAGTAGAGACTTACTACACTATTGAATTAATAAAGATTACAGTATTACAATGTAACAATTTAAAACAATTTACAATATGATATATTACAGTTTAGTACTATTTAAAACAATGAAATTTGGTATTACAATGGAACAATTTACATTATGATGTACTGTATTACAATCTACTACTATTAAAAACAATGAAAAAATAGACATCCTAATTTGGAAGTAGTAAGTGGTTGAGCATTCATCAACACAATGTGAGTAGCTTTTGTGAAACTGGTAGTGATTAGGTACAGTTTGTCTGGTTAATTTTAGGTGATGAGGTGATTTCTTATTAGGGCCTTAAACTGATTTGCAGACAGGGGTCCTTTAGTATGTTCTGGCAATGAATTCCAGATCTTTGGGCCTTTTACGTGCATAGCATTTTTGCATAGGGAGAGATGAACACGAGGGATATCGAAGAGTGATCTGTTTCTGATATGGTTGTGTGTTCTGTTAAAATTATCAGGAGGAGTTTGAGTGGAGGGTTTACATTAGAGTATAGTGTTCTGTGTATGCAGTAGGCACAATAATAAGTGTGGATGTTTTGTATATTTAGCAAGTTAAGTTGTCTAATGCAGGAGTTAGTAATCAACTGCACTTCAGCTTTTTGCTGGGTTATTAAAGGCTTAAGGTGATTTGCTATGGTTGAGCCCCATGCACAAATACCATAGGTGAGGTAAGAGTAAATGAGAGAGTGGTACAAAGCTAGAAGAGCTGATTGGGGTACATAGTACTGTATCTTTGAAAGAATGCCTATTGTTTTGGAGACTTTCTTGGAAATTTTGCTGTATGTGTGTTTGAAATTTGAGACTGCAGTCAAGGTGGAGACCTAGAAGTTTGCCCTCTGCCTGTCTCGAAATAGGTGAACCATTTATCACTATGTTTCCAAAAAGCATGAAGTAGGTTTTATATATATTGAGAGTAAGTTTGTTGGTAATCATCCAAGTAGATATTTTTAGCAGTTCAGCATTTACTGTGTCTCTTAGTATGGTTGGGTTTGGGCGAGAAAAGATGTAAGTTGTGTTATCTGAAAATAAAATGGGTTTAAGGAAATAAGATGTATTTAGCAAGTCATTGATGTAAATGAGAAAGAGAAGTGGGCCAAGAACGCTTCCCTGTGGGACTCCAACAAGAACAGCTTGTGTAGTGGAGCTGGCTCCATTTGTGTATACATACATGTATTGGGTTCTGTTGTTAAGATAAGATTTTAGGTAATCAAGAGAGTGTCCTCTGACCCCGTAATGTTCGAGTTTTTGGTGAAAAAGGTCATAGTCAACTGTATCAAAAGCTTTTCGCAAGTCTGTGAAAAGCCCCAGGAGAAATTAATTTTTCTCGAGTGCAGAATATATTAGTTCAAGCATATACTGTATATAATAGTATCATTAGTACTTTTTTTCGGTCTGAACCCAGACTGACAAGGGTTGAGTATGTTGTGGGATATGAGGTAGGAGTGGACTTGTTTGTGAATTAATTTTTTGAAGATTTTAGATAGTAAGAGCAGGTTTGATATAGGCCTATAATTGTTCAGTTCAGTTGGATCACCTCCTTTGAGGATTGGGGTGACTCCTGCTTTCCTGAGTATGGATGGGAAGGTGGAAGAGTCAATGAATTTGTTAAAAAGAGTTGCAATAATTGGTGACAACACATGAGAAGCTTTTTTATACACGAGTGGTGGTAAGTTATTTAGGTCTCCTGTCTTGTTCTTTAGTGTTTTGATGATAAGCGAGATTTCAGTAGGGTATTTGGGTAGTTGCCAGTGAGGTAATCTTTTGGTTGAATGTTTGTGATTGGGATTTTACTTGCTAATTTTGTTCCTATGGTAGAGAAAAAGACATAAAGTTTGTTGGCAGTATCGGTTGGCTGAAGGAAAGGTTTGTCTGGTTTAGTTAAGGTAATAATTCTGTGTGTGACAGCTTTTTTGATCCTAGAATTTCAGATAAGGTTTTAAAGGTCATTTTCATATCACCTTTTATGTCATGAAATCTTTTTTCATAATACAGTTTTTGGACCTCCTTATTAGATTGGTTAGTACTGATGAGTAACGTTTTGTGAGATCCTTTGTTATTAGACCCATTCTGTACTGCTTTTCGTATAGATGTTTTTTATCAATAGAGTTGAGGATGCTGTTTGTAAGCCAGGGGCTGTTTAGTCTCTTTGCTGTGATTTGCTTAGTTTTTATTGGGCAATGCATGTTATAGAGGTTTTGAGTTTTTTGTAAAGATATATTTACATATTCATCAATATCTAAGTTGTCTGCTAGCTCATTTTGCCAGTCGGTGTCACTAAATGCTGAATGAAGTTATTAACAGATGACTCGTCGTGTAGTCGGAATGTGATCTTAGTTGTGTCCTGGGGCACTTTACACAAGTTGGTTATGAGAAAGATGGGATAGTGGTCAGTGGTGTTATCTGGGATGATGCCTGCTTTTGACAGGGATATAGATATGGTCTAGTAATGAGGCATTTGTGTCAATGATTCTTGTAGGTTTTGTTATTGTTGGTAGAAGCAAGCAGCTGTTCATAGTGTTTGTGAATTCAGTCACTTGTGGGTCATGGTCCTGGATGAGATTTATGTTGAAGTTCTGTGTAAGTATTAGGTGGTGTTTATTCATTTCAGTGCTAGTTATTGTGTCATAGTTTTTCACTAAAAGAGTAAATGTTGGAGTGAGGAACTCTATAAATTGCTCTGTTAGAGGTTTTGTAAGGTCTTTGGATTTAAATTTAGCAAAGGTATATTCACCATGCTCGTCCCTTGTGCAAGTAGAATTTATACACTCTAGTTCCATCTCCTAATTGATCTGACCTACAGTTGTGTATGGCTGTGTAGCCAGGTATGGAATAGATGTTGGTAACATCATGTTTTAGCCATGTTTCAGTGAGAGTAATGGTAGACATACTGACATTTAGAGAATTCAGTAGTGCCTGAAGGTCATCATAGTGCTTGCTTAGTGATCTGACATTAAAATTGAATACAGTTATGTTATGGTTGGCACTGAGTAATGTCTTAGCCTGACTAGAAGTGTAATAAAGGCAATTGTTGTTGAATATGATATTATGTATATGGACTTCAGTAAGGCTTTTGATAGAGTTCCACATCAGAGGCTGTTGAGAAATCTTAAGGCATACTGAATAGGAGGAGAAATTTTTTCCTGGGTAGAGGCATGGTTGACAAATAGGCAGCAGAGAGTTTGCATAAATGGGGAGAAATCAGAATGGGGGCACGTCACAAGCGGTATTCCACAGGGGTCAGTGTTGGGCCCCTTGTTGTTCACAGTCTACACAAACGACATATGAGGGAATAAATAGCAACATAAGCAAATTTGCTGATGACACCAAAATAGGCCATCAAATTCATTCTAATGAGGACATTAGACCACTCCAGGATGATTTGAATAGACTGATGCAGTGGTCAGAGAAGTGGCAGATGCAGTTTAATACAGACAAATGCAAAGTTCCAAATGTTGGACATGAAAATAACCATGCCACATACAAACTAAATAATGTAGATCTTAATATTACAGATTGCGAAAAGGATTTAGGAGTTCTGGTTAGCAGTAATCTGAAACCAAGACAACAGTGCATAAGTGTGTGCAATAAAGCTAACAGAATCCTTGGTTTCATAGCAAGAAATATAAATAATAGAAGTCCTCAGGTTGTTCTTCAACTCTGTACATCTTTGGTTAGGTCTCATTTAGATTATGCTGCGCAGTTTTGTTAAAAGCAGGTGGGGATATAGTTTTGGAGCGATTGTTGCTATTATTTAATAAATGTATGGAAGAGGGTAAGGTACCTAGGAATTGGCAGAGAGCGTGCATAGTTCCTTTGTATAAAGGCAAAGGGGACAAGAGAGACTGCAAAAATTTTAGGAGGATAAGTCTGTTGAGTATACCTGGTAAAGTGTATGGTAGAGTTATCATTGAAAGAATTAAGAGTAAGACGGAGAGTAGGATAGCAGATGAACAAGGAGGCTTTAGGAAAGGTAGGGGGTGTGTAGACCAAGTGTTTACAGTGAAACATATAGGTGAACAGTATTTAGATAAGGCTAAAGAGGTTTTTGTGGTATTTATGGATTTGGAAAAGGCGTATGACATGTTGGATAGGGGGGCAATGTGGCAGATGTTGCAAGTGTATGGTATAGGAGGTAGGTTACTGAAAGCAGTGAAGAGTTTTTACGAGGATAGTGAGGCTCAGGTTAAAGTATGTAGGAAAGAGGGAGATTATTTCCCAGTAAAAGTAGGCCTTAGACAAGGATGTGTGATGTCACCATGGTTGTTCAATATATTTATAGATGGGGTTGTAAGAGAAGTGAATGCAAGGGTCTTGGCAAGAGGTGTGGAGTTAAAAGATAAAGAATGAAACATAAAGTGGGAGTTGTCACAGTTGCTTTTTGCTGATGACACTTTGCTCTTGGGAGATTCTGAAGAGAAGTTGCAGAGGTTGGTGGATGAATTTGGTAGGGTATGTAAAAGAAGAAAATTAAAAGTGAATATAGGAAAGAGTAAGGTTATGAGGATAAAAAGATTAGGTGACAAAAGATTGGATATCAGATTGGAGGGAGAGAGTATGGAAGAGGTAAATGTATTCAGATATTTGGGAGTGGATGTGTCAGCAGATGGGTCTATGAAAGATGAGGTGAATCATAGAATTGATGAGGGGAAAACGGTGAGCAGTTCACTTAGGAGTCTGTGGACACAAAGAACTTTGTCCTTGGAAGCAAAGAGGGGACTGTATGAGAGTATAGTTTTACCAACACTCTTATATGGGTGTGAAGCATGGGTGATGAATGTTGCAGTGAGGAGAAGGCTGGAGACAGTGAAGATGTCATGTCTGAGGGCAATGTGTGGTGTGAATATAATGCAGAGAATTTGTAGTTTGGAAGTTAGGAGGTGCGGGATTGCCAAAACTGTTGTCTAGAGGGCTGAGGAGGGGTTGTTGAGGTAGTTCGAACATGTAGAGAGAATGGAACAAAACAGTATGACTTCGAGAGTGTATAAATCTGTAGTGGAGGGAAGGCGGGGTAGGGGTCGGATTGGAAAGGTTGGAGGGTGGGGGTAAAGGAGGTTTTGTGTGCGAGGGACTTGGACTTTCAGCAAACATGCATGAGCATATTTGATAGGAGTGAATGGAGACAAATGGTTTTTAATACTTGATGTACTGTTGGAGTGTGAGCAGAGTAACATTTATGAAGGGATTCAGGGAAACCGGCAGGCCAGACTTAAGTCCTGGAGATGGGAAGTACTGTACAGTGTCTGCACTCTGAAGGAAGGGTGTTAATGTTGCAGTTTTATAAACTGTAGTGTAAATCACCCCTCTGGCAAGACAGTGATGGAATGAATGATGAAAGTTCTTCATGGTTACTTATTTTGCAGTTGCACTTAATCAGTAACCACCAAAAACCATGGAGTATAGCAAAATGTTTGGATGAATGAGCAGAAGTTTCCTCACTCGCCCAGAGACAGCCACACTGACTCAGGAACGCGTGAGCGGCTGGTGGTGGACGCTTCCAATATGACTGATAAGCAGAATAACGGCCGATAACTGAAAGCCAAAACAACGGCCGATAACTGAGTTGGCCAATAAGCAGAACGGCTGATAACTGAGGGTCCACTGTATTTTATAAGGTAAAAACTACATAAATCTTTCTCCAAATTGCATTTAATGTAAAAGTAGCAGATACATGTACACAAGTGTGTGTTGTATTAACAGTCTCTGTTTCCCATGTCTCTTTCCAAATAGCATGTCCCAGAATATGTCTGGTGGTGATGTTCTCCAAGAGGTGCGGGTGACCCTGGACAAACTGGGTTACCGTGAGCCTCTCCCTCCTGATGCCCTGCCTCTTGTCCAGCATCTCCTGGATGATCTCATTTCGTGCACTAAAGACCTCAAGCACACTAAGGAAACACTGGCTTATACACAGAAGGTAAGTTTTGTAGAACATTTTCAAAATTTTCAAGATGAGATTACTCCTTAGATGTGCCTTAACTTTCATTACTATAAAATTATGCTCCTCCTTTTACTGTCTCAAGTAAAAATCTAAAAATGAAATAGTACTGCCTTCATGCAGATGTATTAAATATCACTGACAGATTATGCAAAAGCTTAGATTTAAATTTTATAATATCTTTGTTAAAGTTTACTATGATGAATGAACAACCTATTTTTACAGGCCAAGTGATACTCTTGCAAATTTCAATGTTTCCAGGTTATTCTCAGCCACTGCATTGACAGACATATTTCAGTCTTTTTTCAGTTAGCTTGCTTATGGCTAAATATATTATTTTATATGTTTATGTAAATTAACCTAAGTCAGTTTAACTTACCTTAACTTAAAATAAAGGAAATAAAACTTGTAGAGTTACAGTATACTACGTGTACTTAGATATTTTTATTTGGTAACTCATAAGAAAATTAACATAGTAAAATGAGGATAGGTGCAAAATAATCAATGATAGCAAGTGAACCAGCTGCCGGAGCACTGTATCTGCATAGCTTGAAGGGTTTGTTTTCAAAATCCATTTGGCTAACACTTCCCACCGATTGAGGAAGATGCATTGTACGTTCCTATATACCTTAGTGTGTAGTAATAACATGAGAGAGACATCTTCCTATTTGCCATAAATCTGCCACTCCATAAAGTGTATCTTACTAAACTTGTATAAATTAATGCGAACTATCTACAATTGTCCGATATGTCATTTTCAATGTATCTCATTGTATTCAACATTAGTTCCTCTTCAACAGCAAATCGACTCTTACTGAATTTTTTTTAAATATCGACCAACTTTTACAGTGGTACCTTGACTTACGAGTGCCCCAACTTACGAGTTTTCTGAGTTACAAGCCGTTGCTTGGTCGATTTTTTGTTTTGAGTTCCAAGCCAAAATCCGAGCTACGAGTGAGCTTCGGATACGCTGCCGCAAATAAAAAAAAAAATAATTACTGATAATGACATTTGGCAAGAACCCCTGCCTAAATGGCACAATGAAAGGTGGTTTTGGGACTTGGTGCTTATAAAACAATGCTAGTGTGATGGTCTTACTGGAGGTAATTGTGTAATTATCTTTAGTTATTCTACAAAAAAATAAAGTTGCTAAGTTTTTGGCATTTGCAAAATGTCTTGCCCTTTACTCCCACACAAATCCCAAAATATTTGGAATATTTTTAATATTCCACAAGCCAATTGTAGAGCAATCATTTTTTTGTGATTCCTGTCAATATTATTGCATTTACTTCAATAATAAATGGGTCTTCGTGAAATAAGTCAATTGCTTTTCAGTGTTTTCCTTATGAAACTAGTGATCTAGTGCAGTTAGCCTCACAAAAACTCAGGTTTCTCTTACCCAGGACCAAAGAATACGTTATAGGAAGGAGCAGTAATGATTTTATATGCTCGGGCTGGTCCTGGACACTCACCATATTATGGCCTATTTTATTCATTCTAATTATAGTGTTTATTATGTCATATTAGATCAATTCTGATAGACAAATAAGCCATAAAGTTGATACTAGCATTATATTGCAGTATTTTCTCCTGCCCTGGGGGTGGCTTTTTGGGGGCTGGAACGGATTAATGGCATTTCAATTAATTTCAGTGAGGAAAATTGATTTGACATACGAGCAAATTGAGTTACGAGCTTGGTCATAGAATGAATTAAACTGTATGTCAAGGTACCACTGTATTTGGAATGAATTACTCATACTGTACTGCTACAGAATGCCTAAAATTATATGCTAGAACGAAAATTGTGTTGTGATATTAATAAGGTCTTGAGGATATCTCTCCAAAAGAGAACCCACAGTAATGAATTTAAATTAGATAAGTTTAGATTTAGAAAGGTCATAGGAAAGTATTGGTTTGGAAATAGGGTAGTTGATGAGTGGAACAGTCTACGTAGTTGGGTTATTGAGGCTAGGACTTTGGGTAGTTTTAAATTTAGGTTGGATAAGTACATGAGTGAGAGGGGTTGGATTTGAGTGGGACTTGCACATCAGAGCTTATTTCTTCTAGTAGCATTGAAAATTGGGTTGGGCAAATGTTTTGTTAGTGGGATGAATTGTGAAGGACCTGCCTAGTATGGGCCAACAGGCCTGCTGCAGTGTTCCTCCTTTCTTATGTTCTTATAGAAGTTTTAGGATTAGTTTGTCCAAAATACTTTGCATATTAAGTGGCTTTCTTTTGAGTATAGTATATGTACGTAATTCTTTCTTTCAACAAACCGGCCTTATCCCACAGAGGCAGGGGTGGCCAAAAAGGAAAAATGAAAGTTTCTCCTTTTAACCCTTTGACTGTTTCGGTTGTATATATATGTCTTACGAGCCACCGTGTTTGACGTACATGTACTCAAAAATTCTAGCGGCTTCAGATCAAGCAGGAGAATGTTGGTAGGCCCACATATGAGAGAAGCAAATCAAATCAAATCAAAGTTTATTCTCTATTAGGATTACAATGCGGGGGTTACAGATTTTGGTTATTGTGTGGTTTACATATAATAAAATACTAATTACAGAGGGGGCCACTAGAACACCTAGCCAGGCTAGGCATTTCGGGCAAACTTAGATTAATTCGTATCCCTAAATTATTACAAATTGTGGAGTAAGTTGACTAAATACTAAGTGACTAAATACTAGTTTGTGAGTTTAGCACTGTGAATGCTTTTGTTTTGGCACAATGCATAAATTTTATATTGGAGTATCACAGGCAAACTTGTGACTAGTTAGGAATCATTATTTTAAGATTAAGATACATACAGTGGACCCCCGGTTAACGATATTTTTTCACTCCAGAAGTATGTTCAGGTGCCAGTACTGACCGAATTTGTTCCCATAAGAAATATTGTGAAGTAGATTAGTCCATTTCAGACCCCCAAACATACACGTACAAACGCACTTACATAAATACACTTACATAATTGGTCACATTCGGGGGTAATCGTTATGCGGGGGTCCACTGTATTTCTGTGCTTATAGTCAAATGGGTGAGTGAGTGAGTGTAAGTGTGAACCACCAGGTGGTTTTTATGTAGTTAGTTGACGGGGTGTATCAGGGAGATAAGATGTTTTCTAACGGTAGTTTTGAAGGTGATGAATGTGTCTGCAGCTCTAGAGTTTTCAGGTAGGGTGTTCCAGATTTTAGGGCCTTTGACATGCATTGAATTTTTGTAAAGGTTTAGTCTGACACGGGGAATGTTGTAGAGATGTTTTGTCTGGTGTTATGCCTGTGGGTTCTGTCACAACTATCAAGAAAGCATTTTAGGTCAAGGTTAATATTGGAATTTAAGGTTCTGTATATGTAGGTTGCACAGTAGTAAGTGTGGATGTTCTGAACAAGTAGTAAGTTTAGATCTATGAAGAGTGGGGGGGGGGGGGCTGTTGCCAGGGATGGGATTTAGTGATTATTCTTACTGCAGCTTTTTGTTGAGTTATTATTGGCTTTAGGTGTATTGCTGCAGTTGAACCCCGAGCACAAATAGCATAGGTGAGGTATGGATAAATGAGTGAATGATATAGTGTGAGAAGGGCATTTTGCGGCACATAGTATCGTATCTTGGAGAGGATCCCAACTGTTTTGGATACTTTTTTTGATATGTGTTGGATATGGGTGCTGAAATTCAGGTTGTTGTCGAGGTATAGGCCTAGGAATTTGCCCTCATTATGTCTGGCAATTAGAGTGCTGTCAATCTTAATGTTTAGTTGTGCAGCACCTGCTCTGCTACCAAACATAATATAGTAGGTTTTGTCTGTGTTAAGTGTAAGTTTATTGGCTGTCATCCAAGTTGATATTTTGAGCAGCTCCTCATTAACAATGGTGTTGAGGGTGGCAAGATTAGGGTGAGAGATGACGTAAGTCGTGTCGTCAGCAAAGAGAATGGGTTTCAGGCATTGGGATACATTTGGAAGATCATTGATGTAAATGAGGAAGAGCAAGGGTCCAAGGACACTTCCCTGTGGAACTCCAGTATCAAGTGGCCGTGTTGATGATGCTGTGTCTTTAATGGTGACATACTGATATCTATTAGTAAGGTAGGATTTGAAATATGCAAGCGCATGGCCTCTTATACCATAATGGTCAAGTTTGTGGAGTAGGATGCCGTGGTCTACTGTGTCAAAAGCTTTTCTTAGGTCAATAAAAATTCCTAGTAGATATTCTTTATTTTCCAATGCTGTGTAAAGCAGATCTAGCATTTTTATGATTGCATCATTAGTTCTTTTATTTTTCCTGAAACCAAATTGGCACGGGTTAAGTATGTTTTGTGCCGTTATAAATGAATACAGTCTCCTGTGCACGAGTTTCTCAAAGATTTTGGATAGCAATGGTAAGTTTGATATTGGCCTATAGTTGTTTACATCTGTAGGGTCACCACCTTTATGTATTGGTGTAACTCTTGCTGTCTTGAGTAGTTTCGGGAAGGTGCTAGTTTATAGTGACTTGTTAAAAAGTAACGAAATAGCATGCGAGAGGACATGGGTCACTCGCTTGTACAAGAGAATTGGTCTATGTGGTCAGTGTGCACCATATAAAAAAAAAATCCTGCAGCACGCAGTGCATAATGAGAAAAAAAAAAAGCTCTGACCATTTTTTTGGATTAACCCTTAAACGGTCCAAACGTGTATATACGTTTTTTCAACATTTGAAAGTATTTAAAAAAATGTACATCTTTTTTTTTTTTTTTACATTTGAAAATGTGTAAAAAAACTTTTATATACCTTTTTTTTGTTATATTTGAAAATATGTAAAAAAAAAAACATAGATCTACTTTTGGAGCACTACGGATTTGAACGTCAATCTATTTGGACCGTTTAAGGGCTAAAACTCTGAATTTGTGGTGTATTGTCATATAGTATTTATGGTTGTATTCTCGTTTTCTTGGTCTCATTTGATAGAATGGAAAACATATTATAGAAATAGAGGTGAATAAATAACAAAAAGGCACAATACTGTGACTGGAACGATACACAAATAACCCGCACATAAAAGAGAGAAGCTTACGACGACGTTTCGGTCCGACTTGGACCATTGACAAAGTCACACTAACAGAGGTGGAGCAGGACGGCTATATATAGGCAGGAAGAGGTGGAGGTAGTAGTAGTGGTAGTAGTAGTACAAGAATTGTATATAATACCGACAGGATGAAATGACACATGCACAACACCCAG